TTAGTTTTCTAACATTTTTTACTTCCCGAAAGGTTTCTTATCTTTTATTTTTTTTGTTTTTTTAAAAGTGCGGCACACAAAGTCAAATGATGAGAAAAAATGCAAATAAAAAATAAGATTATATTTTCTTTTATTTTACTTAAATTAATTCACTAAAAGAGTGTTTTAGTAGAAATAAAACAAAAGAAAATTTTTAGAAAAAAAAATGATAAAAACAAAAAATTGAGGGTTTGTAGTGAGAAAAAGCTTTATTTTGTTAAGGTCTAAAAGTTTTATTGTTAGTGAAAAAAGAAGAAAAAATAAATTTATAGAGAAAAAATATATTATTAAATAAATATGCTGACAATTCTCTAAATAAATAAATACTTACTGAAGTCAAATTTAAATCTGGAAAAATTATAGACTAAAATAAATAGTAAAATAGTGGAGGTATCGCTTAGGTACTCCTTAAAATATTCACTAAACTGAGTATATAAATTAACGGGAATATACTATAACAAGATTCAAATGCCAAAATTAGTTCTACTACTTGTAAAGAAGTAATCTTTAATTTAAAATAGAAAATACTCCCACGGGTTTAAAATTGTTTCTTTAAACTTTGGTTATTTTAAATGCAAATTTGTTAACTAAAAGTTTCAAAAAATTTGAAAAAAAGAATTTCCGGTTATTTAAATAAATATAATTTTAAAACAAAAATATATTTTTGGAAAAAAGAGAAAAGTGTAGGCAATTTATTTTAAAAGAAAACTCTTAAAGGTTACTTTGAAAGAACTAATTTTAGAAAATATTAAAAAAATATTTTTTGAAAAAAAAATTTAAAAAATAATTCACAATTTAAAAGATTAATAATTATTAAATTAATTGAGTAATTATTCTTAAATTATTTTTATTTAAGCAGAGTCCTCGCCCCGATAACTTTTAGAGAGAACAACAAGTAAAAGGATTCCCGACATGTGGTTAAACTTTTAGGTATTTTAATTTTTTTAAATTATTATTTGGTCATTAATGACTGATTTATGGTTTTTATTATTAAATAAACATTTCATAAATCACATACCGTATTTCCTAAAATAGTACTCCCGGGAGTACTATTTTTCAACCCTCCTCCAAAGGGGAGTACTATTTAAGGGGGGAGTACTAATTCAGGGGGGAGTACTATTTTTCAACCCTTATTTATGATTTATCATAAGAAAATTTATTTCAAAATTCTAAATCAATTTGAGTTCGTTATTTGAAAAATGACGGATCCGACACGGATTTTCTAAATTTACCTCTATATCCATCTTGAACTCCCGACCAGTTAATACACTTGATATGAGAAAATTCCCTAGATATCCTTCAAAAACACTGATATACCCCTTAATCTTTTCAAACCTCGTAATCTCACTAATCCGCATATATCTGCCGATATTATTCAATGTCACTGCGCAATTGATGTACCTAATCGCTGTGTCTAGGGATTTATCAGCATTAATCACCGATATCCTCCACATCTCTTTTTCTTCGAATATCCCTACGAATCCTAGGGTATCCATATTAGGCGGGATAACAAATAGATTTTCGTCCTGAACGCTCGGGAATGAGTGCGTCCCGAACACTCAACCTTCATTTTTCTCTCAAATTCCTTTATCAAACCATACTACTTGATCAATCTAGAACACATTTTATCACCCGATATAATCCCTTTATATCCCCAAAATCCACTTTTACCCCACCAACTAATCAATTATATCCCTTTAATTGCCGACAAATTTTAGGTTAAAATTTCGGTACGTTTTCGGTCAACAGATGCTGTTCGGTTTCGGTTATCGAAGAATCAAGTGAAACTGACAACCCTAATCAGAATAAATAAAATAATTCAATAAGTAAATTTCAATAGAATAATTCAATGTTTCTTTTATAATTTTTTTCAAATATAGGGGAAAAATATTTTAGGGGGGAGTACTATTTTAGGGGGAGTACTATTTAAGGGGGGAGTACTATTTTTCAACCCTCCTCCAAAGGGGAGTATTATTTAAGGGGGGAGTACTAATTCAGGGGGGAGTATTATTTTAGGAAATACGGTATTTTAGAGGAATTTATTTAATAACTATAAGCAGATTAAAAGATTAAAATTACTAAATTTTTGGAAAATTAAAAAATAAACATTTAAACTATTTTTTGTTATTTATTAATGATCTTTAGAAATTATTTAAAATATTTATAAAACAAAATAAGCAAAGATCTCATTTATTTTAGAATGAGATTTAAATGATGTATGAAACAAGTGGGCGAGTAAAATTAGTAAATAGTACTTTTGTAAAAATAAACTAAATAAAATGAAAAAATGGAGGTGCTTTTAATTAACTACAAATATATTATACATTTTCTTACAAAATAACAAAATTTGGAAAAATTTCACAGAATATTCAATAATCGGGTAATTTTTGAATTCCTTTTGAATTTTTTTTTTGAATTTTTCAAATTAAAATAAAAAACCAAAAATATTTTATGAATAATTCCGGTATGTCCATAATTATGACCTAATATATTACTATAAAAATTTATTTATGGTATTATTTAGCGACATATTGAAGAACATAACTATAATTTTTAAATTTAAAATGCTTATCAATCTCGTCTCATATTACAACTAAAATTAAAACATAATTCACCTATCTAAATCTAAATTGTAATTATAAGTCTATTTATTAAAGAAAAAATAAAATTTCTTTCTTCAAATATCTATTCAGAATTTAGAATAATATTAACTAATAAAATACACGTTAGAATAATTTTATATATTTTTTACAAAAAAATCTTTTCAAGAAAAATATTTATCCGTAAAAGTGCATTAAATAAATATTTTATTTAAAAAGGGAAAAACAAAATATATTTTGTGAATAAATAAATAATTCCGGTATTGAAAAAGTGAAAGAAAGAATTGACCAATTTATTTTAAATATCGGAAATTCTCAATTTTCTTTAAATTATTTATTTAATTTTCTATTTAAATAAAAAAAGAATTCTTTAATAATTACAAGAAAATTGAAAATTTTAATGTTAAATTAAATTAATTTAAATAAAAAATAAATTAAATTAAATTAACAAATGTTCAAATTATTCTCTAAAAATTAATTAAATTTTCAAATTAAAAAATTGACAAAAAATATATAATCTAAAAATGAACTAAAAAAATTAATTTAAAAATTTTATATATTTTATTAATAATTTATTTTCAAATTAATTAATTAAATTTTAAATTTGTCATTAATTATTAGAATATTTATTTAATTAAAATTGATGGGAATGAGAGAATTAATTCGTTGGGATAATAAGGTAACTAAATTATTTTAAAACCGGATTCGAATCTCGAATCTTTAAAAACCCGTAATTTTCAGCTAGGAAATCCGTTTGCAACATAGCGAAAATTTTTAAAGTTTGAGACAGATTTCTTCCATTTTAAGCACCGCAGGCGAAAATTTTGAGAATTCTGGAAGTCTAGAAGAGAAAAAAATGAATTTTATTCAAAAAAAACCACAAAAATCCGCAAATCCGCATTTTTAAAAATAATCATAATCGACAAATCAAAAACCGCAAAAAAAGGAAAATCTACATATATCACAACCCTGGTTTTAGATGATTTAGTTACAATAGAAAATAATAACAAAAGACAAAAACAAGAAAAAATACTCGTGCCGTTTTCACCTCCACAGAGGAGACAGCATCCAGGTCTGCGTAGTAGAACAATTGGTAAATAAAAAATAAAGTCTAAAAAATACAAAAAAAATAAATAAACTTTAAAAATATTACGTAAAAACAAGAAAATAATTCTAATTTATTGGAAAATAAAATTAATGTTTCAACTTTCTTTTAAAATAAATAATTCTTTAAAATACTTAATTTTAAAATTTCTAAATAAAAAATCGTCATTTAAAATTTAGTTTGCACTCAAATTAAATATTAAATTGTCAAGGAAATTTTATTAAAAATTATATAATTTTATTTAAACGATATTGAAATATTTTTGTATTTAATTTTTTATAATAAATTACTGTAATTAATTCTCATAAAATTTAATTTGCGTGTAAAATAAAATAATTTTTAAAAATTACTTTAAATATAAAATTATTTTAAAAAAATTAGTATAATTAAATAATTAAAGAACAATAAAATTAAAGTTTAAAAAATTTTGAGAGTATGACAGAAAAATATTGAAAAAAAAAAGAAATGTTTTTTTAATTAATTAAGAATTCGTGAACACATCAAATCATTAATTCTTGATTAAATACTAATTTATTCATTATTTAAATCCCAGATGAGCCTCGCCAACAACCGTGAACAATGTGCAACTTTTAGGGCGATCATATCAACTCCTCGGAAGCCTTAATTTTTTGCACGAAACGCAAAACTATTATACATAAATTATTTGAACTAAGTTTACATAGTTTAGGTTTTTAGATAGAAAAAAGAAGAACAAAAGAAATTTTTAAATTTTGACAAAAGCATATTGAAAAGCAAATTGAAAAGTTTTTTTTTAAATTAATTTATACAAAATAACAAAGAGAATTTGTTTTAATTCACTTTTAAAACATTTTTCATCTTCTTATCCGATATCTTATTTAAATATCCAAAACATTTAAGTAATTATTCAACACTAATCTTCTAATTTTTTAAAATATTTTCCCTTCCTTTCCTTTTATTTTGCATTAAATTAGTTTTAAATTCGTTTAAAAATTTATTTAAAAATATTTTCACAAATAATATATACGTATTTCCTGATCATTTACATATTTTTTTATATATTTTTAAGTAAACGTTCATTATATAAGGATTACCATTTGCCGTACTTTTTATTTGGCTTTTGTTAAATTTCCATGACAACAAATTCAAAACATACCACCACGAAAATATATTTGTAGGTTTAATAGTTAAGTGAAAAACAATTAAAAATATTTGTTTGTATTTGTTTTTCTAAATATTTTTTAATAAATTAAAAATAAATTTAAATAAAAAAACAAATGAGTGAAAAAGATCAAAATAAATTATTTGATTCTTTTATGGAATTTTTACGAAGCGATTTATGGCAAATTCCAGTCAGCCAGTTTATTGAGCAACGCTCTATTGGTAAATATTTTGCTCATAAATTGTTTTTAATTAATTATTTTAGTCTTTGAAAGAGAGCCCGATTTAGGGTCTTCTCCAAACACTATCGAGAATTTTCAAGCAGTTCATTGTGAATTTGCAAAAATGATTTCCGATTTGATAAAAGCTTATTGCGCAGATTGCAACCAAAACAGAGAAGGGGTAATGGAAACACTAAAAATAGCTCATAGAGAAAAGTTTCAACAAATGTCCAACAAAGACAAAGTAAATAAATATTTGCAGTAATTTTTAAAAAATTATTTTAGATGTTGTTAGAACCAATTGTAGCTTCAGAGCATTTTGATGTTTTTGTACCAATGATGATGAGAAAAAATATTGAATTACAATTACAGGCATTAAAAATGATTGAGGTTTTAAATGAATTGACAAAAAAAATAATCAAAGAAAAATTTCAGCAACATATGAAAGGATTGTTGCCAAGTTCACTTTTATTGGGAGAAGAAGATGCCAAATTGTGGGAAGCATTGGATGCTGAAGAACAAGATGAAAGTGAAAAGCTTATTTTACTTGCTGTTTTAAGGCAAAGTAAAGAAGAATGGGAATATGATCAACGAATGAGAGCCGATTCTGAAGGGCAAATGGAAAGGGCTTTGCGTGAAAGTTTAGCAGAGAAGACAAATCTCGAGGAGATGAGAAGAAAGGAACAATTACTACTTGAAAAAGCCCTTAGTGAAAAGGCAAATATTTAGAAAAATAAAAATATTTTAAGCACTTTATTATTTATTTTAAAGTTCTCCAACCTCTCAATTTATACTAAAACGGATGAAACAACGAAAAATTTTAAATTGAATTTGCCTCCGAGCGTTATATTTCAAAATACTAGTATTCCTACAATAAATGAGGACAATATAAAGAATTGTAATGATAATGAGATTATAATAAATGAAGAAATTAAAGAACTGGAATATCAAAGAGGAAGTTCCCCTAATAAAGAGAAACCAGGAACTTCTCAGTCAGCAGATACCGTGTTACCTATGAGAAGCCCTGATTCTAAGAGTGGAAGATCTTCACAAATGAGTGTTAGTAATTTTTAAAAACTTCGAAAGAATTTATTTTTTAGTTGCCGTCGAAAGTAGAAAAAACGCTAGTAGTACGTTCTGTCTCGAATAAACAAGAGGGAAATGACGAAACGGATACAAGTGAAAATGATAAACCCAATAAAAACAATGAAAATAACGTCAAAAATTCTTCCGAAAGTGCAAATAAAAAGCGCCGTTCCTTAGGTCAAGTACATCAGCCCCCGCGTGGAAAAGACAAGTCAAAAGACGGGGACTCAAATAAAAAGAGTGATTTGGCTTATAGGGTGAGGGAAATTTTGATAAAAATTTTAAGAATAACTAAATATACCGTATTTGCTAAAATAATTACCCAGGGTAATTATTGTTTCAACCGCTCGCTGGAGGAGGTGATTAAAAGGGAGGGGGTAATTATTTGAACTTTTTTTTCAGAAAGGCTAATTATAACTATTTTTAAGGGGGGTAATTATTTTTTCGATCTTTGGCTGTAGGGAGTAATTAATAGGACGGGGGTAATTATTTGAGAAAGGGACATTATTTCAACGTACTCTCGTATTTTCAGTCTTTACTTAAAAAACGGGATGATGTCCCCGATGAAAATATAAAATCAAGAATGCATTATCTTCGAGAACAAAGAGACAAATTATTGCAGAAAAAGAGTATGGAAAGGCAAAAACAACTTTTGGTAAATTACTGAATATTTTTAAATGTTCATAAAATTATTTGAAAGGCAACCAATGACAATTCTAGACCTAAAACAGCAAAAGCTGCTCGGGGATTAATGGCACAAAACGAGTCAAGTAAGTTAGAAGAAAGGAGGAGAATTGCTGCTAAAATTAAAGCGGAAGTAATTGATAAACATCAATCTCAACCAATTGGACAAACTTGAAATTGTATTTAAAATTTTCTAAAAATACAAATAAAATATTTTTTTCGTTGGAATTTTATTTTAATTTAACCAAATATTGAGAATAGAATCGAGAAAAACTATAAAATATACAATTCATTTCATCGTTCAGGATCGAAATTTTATTGGAAAGTTTGGGAATTAACTACAAAAAGATAACAAGAGTGTAAATTTAATTAAAAATAGTTCCATTTATTATTTTTATTCAATAGAGGTTATTTATTAAAACAAATAATATATAAAAATCAGCAGTAAATAATAATAATAATCAAAATAGGAGCTGTTTTGATCGATTTTAAGTGATCACAGAAGGATTTTTAAAAAGATGTTTTACAATATTAAAGGGAAATATTAAGCTGTTTAATTGAAGTGATTTAGATAAAAACATTTAAAAATAAGAGCAAAGAAAAGAAAATATTTGCATGTTTTGTCTTTAAATACAAAAAATATATATTATGCAAAAAAAGTAGTAGAAAAAATTAATTTGATTTTGGTGGTGGAATGTTTTTTCAGAGCAAGAAAAGCCCTTTTATTCATCATTTTAACTAACATGTTTAAAATGGCCAAGCTCCCATTTATTCTCTTCACTTATTGAATTACAATCTGCTAGAGTTAATTGCATCGCTGGTGTTTTTAGAAGTAAGCAAAGCTGGCTTTTGATATGAACAATTTGTTTAGTCTAAAAATTGAAAGAAAGAGATTTTGGCAATTTAAAAGGGAATACATCAATTATTTTGATTACTCATCTGAAAAAACTAAAAGAGATAAACGACCTGCTCCAACTAATTTTAATTTTGGTACCAAAAATTCCTTAAAGAGAAAGTACTGGAAAAAATCAAAATAAAATTTTTTCTATTGGGGAGCTTTAGCTAAGAGTATACTCTTCCAAATCTTTATAGTTATTAATTGGCTGGCAAGAATCAATCAAAGGTATATCCAGTGGGTCGGTTTCGGTGGACTAACATTGAGCCCCCTGGATACGCCCTTAGAATCAATTAGAATAAAATTATATTTTTAAAAAATTTACGATTGGAATGTAGCTAAATTGTTGTTTTGCATTCGGATGGTTTGTAGAACATTTTTCCATATTAAGTGAATTATCATCTTTACCAGCTAAACAAGTTTCATCAGTTCGAATTTCACCATCTCCAGTCAAACTCCAAGCCTTCAAAAATTTATTTAAAAAAATATTTTCCAAAATTATTTACTTGATTCCCTCCCTGTCCATGACATCCAGTCACACCAGGCGGTTGTCCTCCACTTTTTCCCATTGTATCAATACATAATTTAGTACTAGGATTTTTTATCTGTTTAAAAAATATTCTATAAAAATCTTTAAATTAAAAAATAACCTCTCCAATAGACAAATAATTTGCAGGCAAAGGTGATTCTGGATAAATATTTTCTAAATACCATTTAAAAGATTTGCATTTCAGACGTTCACGCAATCTTTGCCGTTCAGTAACATCCCCAACGTCAACATGGCGAGCCGCTAGAAAATAAAAATTAAAAAGAGAAATAAAATTTAATTAAACCTGTAACTGTTGCATAAAAGAATTGTTTGTAATCGTCCATCCACACTTCAGCTGTTCTTCTAGCATTGTGATGTATAATTGTTGCAGTTCCGCCAGGGAAAGTGTAAGGAGTTTGTTTTCGAAATACTGGAACGAATAAAATAATTTTTAAAAGAAATAAAAAATTTGGGAAAGCATCTACTAATAAAGTTAGATCAAACCAGACCTGCTCATGGATATGGATTTTGCTATCCGTATCCGGATATATCCGTGAGGTCCATATCCGTATCCGTTTGTATCCGTCCAACTTTTTAGGCATATCCATCCGCGGGTATCCGCGGATATATCCGTTTTTTCTCAAAATGGTCGGCCTGGCTAGAATTTTCAAAATGGTCAAATTTATTTAAATTCGAGTAATGGGTAGATAATGAGGTAATAACTAGATGCAGCAAAACTAACCTTGCTTATGAACATCGGAGGTTCGAAAATCGGGAGGCAGAGATAGGAATTACGACCCAACGCTGCTTATCAGGGATCATACCGACAAAAAATAAAATTTTGAAAATTTTTGAGAATTTTTGAAAAGTTAAATTCTCGGTTTAGGGCCGAAATGAAAGTTTCGGTTAACTGACCAGTTGATTTTAGCGCCGCAGGTGAAAATTTTGAGAATTTTGGAAGACAAAGAATCAAAAAATCTTTCATTTTCAGCGCCGCAGGCGAAAATTTTGAGAATTTTAGAAGGGCGTAGGCCAAAAAATTCACTTGTTTTGCCCAATCCCCTCATCGATTTTTTTCCTTTTTCCCAATTCGGGAGTGTGTAGGGAAATTCCGCTATACCCGTCTGAAAATTTTCGCTTGCTCAGCTAAAAGAGTACGAGCTAATTTTGCTCGTACTCACCACTGAATTTGGCCTGAACTTGTATTTCGTACCTTAAGTGGGTAGGCACATTAGAGCGTCGTAGATGGAAATTTTTAAGCTGGAAGGCTAAGAAACCAGAGTTCCAGAGAAAACCAGAATTCTTTATTCTAGCGCCGCAGGCGAAAATTTGAGAATTTCAATGATTTAAAAGCAAGATTTCTTTCTTTTTTAGCGCCGTAGGCGAAAATTTATAAAATTTTGAAAGGCCGAAAGCAAAAAAATTCACTGCAGGATATCCGCGGATTTGAAGCATCATATCCGTATCCATCCGTATCCGTCCGATTTTTTTAAAAACACTATCCATATCCATCCGTATCCGCGGATATCCGCGGGTATCCGGATATTATCCGTATCCGTGAGCAGGTCTGGATCAAACTCTTATAAATAGTTCTATAAATAAATAAAACAGGACAAATGTAGCGTAACAATTTTTATATTTACCGTGGCCAACTCGGGAACATGGATGAATTTCCAAAGATCCTCCACACATCCAAACCTACATTTAACAAAAAAATTAAAAATTGATTATAAAAAATACTCGAAATGAAATTTCCAAATTCTCTCCACCCCAAACATGCATTCCTTTGTCATAAGAGCCAATCTCATAAAAATATTTTTTATCAATGGCAAAGAGACCGCCAGCAATTGTCGGCGTTCTTTAAAAATATTTTTGATAAATTGAAATTATTTCCTCACTGAATCGGCAAAGATCTGTCCCAATTTCGGCGTTTCATTTCTCTTTCAGGTACAGGATACCATCTAGAAATTTAAAAGAAAATTTAATTAAAAAATATTTTTCAGAAAAACCTAAAGTTTAAATGCCAATTAAATCCTCCCCAAGTTGTATCAGAAGCTGTAACATATTCAAAAGTATCATCAGAAATTACATCAATTATTGGTGCAACAACCCGAGTACGATCCTCCGCTACTCTAATAATTAAAGGTTCTAGCCAGCCAATACTCACTTCAACATGGGCATCCAAAAAGAGCAATATATCTCCCTTTGCCATAGCAGAACCGGCCAGACGTGCTCTAATTAGGCCAGAACGTTCAGGTAAGTGCATCTTTAAAAAGAATTTTTAAATAAAACCCAAAAATTGAAAGTTTGGTACTTATGAAGATGGAGGTGCCCTTTCTGCGGACTTTTTTTGCGGACTTTTCTTCCTTTCTTTTTAAATGTTTTGTTGTTTTGCTTTCAGCAAGTTTTGCTAGTAGCAATTAACTATCAAAGGATTATTTTGTATGCCATTTGAAAAATATGTGTTCACAATTAATTTAAACGTTATAGACGCTAAAAATGTTACAATCAATAAAAAATTTTACTTTAACTAAATTACATGATTAAATTAAATTGCCCGAAACTGAATTTCAACAATGGCTTACTGATCTCGGAATGCTTCATAGAATGAGAACTTGTGATTTTGGAACAGAAATTCGGGTAATTTCAATCCTTGTCCCACCCCCCCCCCCCCCCCCCCTCCCTCATTATTTTTATTACCTATGATTGTACAAAATGATCAGATTTTCTTCTTCCTCTATTTGAGCTTGGCATATTCAAACAAGAGACATATGTAGTTGATAAAGAGAAGATTAAAATTAATTGAGTTGTTCAATATTGAGTACGATTTATTTTTTCAGTTGTTCAATATTTTTAAATATAAGTAAGAATGTAAAGTTTTTACACAGAAATTCATAATGTTATACACCAAATCAATTTTATTTAATTCTTTTTTTTAAATTGTTTTCGAAGGCAAAAAATAAGTGTATGACTATGAAATTAATCTTCTCTTCACCAATGTCTCTTGTTTGAATATGCCACAGGGCAAATAGAGGAAGGAAAGGAAGCAGAAAATCTGACCTTTATGTACAAACTTAGGTAAAGAAAAATAATAGGGGGAGGGCCTTTGACAGTTAGTTGCTACAAGTAAAATATGTAAAGGAAAGGAAGAAAAGTCCGCAAAAAAAGTCCGCAGAAAGGGCACCTCCATCTTCATAAGTACCGAAAGTTTTAGTAAATCCTTTGAATATTAAAAAATTTTTCTTAATCTAACCAAGTGCACAGGAATCGTGAATCTTCTAATGTATCTTTTCAATGGTTTCTTTAAATAAGCTCTTTCACTTTTATCATCAATTAAAATAATTTCTTTTAAAAGTTTGAGCGGCGTTCGATTAACAACAGAGTGAAGAGTTCGCAATAAAGTACTCCAAGCTTCGTTGTGAAAAACGATTATAATTGAAACTGTCGGTAAATTTTCAGGGACAGGCTGACTTTTACATCTAATTTAGAATAAAAAATAAATAAAATTAGAAAAACTAAAACAAACTTTTCAGTTCTATAATCAGGAATTGTTCTGTTAACGCTAATTTGATCAGATGCCATAAGGTTAAATTGATTTTGTTTGAACTTTTCTTTTTTCTCTTCTTCCTTTTCTTTAGCAATTTCAACCCCTTTTCCACCTTCTCCTGGCCCATTTGGATCAAAATTTAATTGAGAAAGTAACAATTCCAATTCTTTGTCCTCTTCTTTTGGTTGTTCTGGAAGGGCGATTTCTCTATTTTTTGGTCTTCTTAATATTTTTTCCTTCTCATTGGATTTAATATCATTAGAAATTTGTTCCTTTTGGGGCATAATCGTCCTGAAATTTTCAAAAAAAATTAATAAAATTATCCAAAAAAATTTTTTAGTAACCTTTCTGATTGTGAACCAATAAGGCTTCTATCAAGATAATAAAAAAGAATAATTATATCAACAAGTATCCATATAATAGAAGTAGCCAAAATTGCTCTACAAACATCTGGCCTAAGTCTAGGCATAATCACCTTTTAATAAAAACCCTTTTATTTTAAAAATATTAAATTTATAAAAAACGTTTTTATTCACGTTTTTCCTTCACTGAAATGTTTCGATATTGAATGGAAAAAAGACACGCGAGTGGTAACTCTTTTCCTGTCAATTGAGTCATGGATGTTTAATTTTTATTTATTCAACTGGACCAATTTTTCTTTCTCTCAACTTTCAATCGAATTTAAAATATTAGATGAATTGAATTAACAATTGATTTATAAAAAAATTAATCAGAATTTAAAAGATTTTATTTTATAAATAAATAGAAAAAATAATCCAAACAAATAATTGTCATAATTTAAATAAATTAAATAGATTTTAAACTTCCACTCTTTGCTTCCTCCACAACTTTAAGAACATCAACACTTTGTTTAACAATCGAAACCAAATTCTCCACTAATTGCTGCCGCGTAAAAAGACAACGGCGTACTTCGGCCATTTCTTTAGAGGAAATATTTAGGCCAGTTTGAACATTCTCTTTTGCTGATTGTTCCAGTTTTGAACTATCTCTTCGTATTGTTTCAAAAATTGTTGTTACTTGCTCCTTAAAAAGAAAATTTTATTTTATTTAGAAAATTGAAGGATTCAATCAATTTCTAATTAATGATGTGTGTAATTAGAGATTTCAGATTTTTGCAGTTTATGTTTTTTTGAATAACAATGAATTTAGCTTAATTTCCCTTGCATTATTATAAAAAAATTATCATTTTCTCTATCCATATAACTAATTTTAATAGAATAAATTATCCGATGATTTTAGTCAGGCCTGTAGCCAGAAAAATTTCGAGGGAGGGAGGGGCAGAGGGTGTAATCATTTCTACATAGCTACGAAAGATATTCCTAGTCAAACTAATAATTCATTTAAAATCATAAAAATATGAAAGGGTAAATTAATCAACAAAAATTCCCATTTTTTACCTTTAACTTTTCTGGCCCATTTAATAAAAAATTCATTCTCTCAAGACGTGACTGCAATTGTTCTTCTTTTTCATCCACAATTTGTCCATGTCGTTGATTGTTCGCTTGCATAACTAGTACTTGAAGAAGACGATTTGAAAGAGATTTTTGTTTTTGAATAATTTGAATATATTTATTTTTTGCTTCAATAATATTTCGATGAAATCCATTTAATCGATTAAAATTATCATCTTTAAATATTTAAATTTGTAACACAAAATTAGAAATCAAAAACTAACCTACTTCTGCATGAAGTGACTGAACTAAGGAAGTCTGCATTTTTTTACGTTGAGATAATTCACGAAAGCCCTAATAAATAATATTTAAATTTTTCTGAAATAAAAAGGAAACCTGTATAGGATATGGAATTAAATTGGCGGGATCTGGATTTTCTCGAATAGCCTGCAACCAAATTTCTTCATATCCGGCTGGAGGACGGCGCAAATAATTTTCTAGGTTAGCTGGATCAATCTCAACTCTGGGTGCAATTTTCTTACATAGCAATTGTTGTTGAAGTTCATTCGCCTTTTGCATTAATTCATTATAAAGATCAAGAGCAGGAATAATTCGGCCTGATTCTTTAGCAAGGATAACCACCTAAAAGTTGAAAGAAATTTTCTTTTCACAAGAAAAATAATATTAATTTTAAAAAACTAATCACAAACCTCAGTGTTTTGTTCATCATGAGCATTTATTGATTTAATTTCAACACGCAGTGAAGGTTTCGCAGGTTGCTGCTGCTGTTGAATTAACCCAAGCATTGGAGCTGGTTGTTTGGATGCTCTCAAAATAGCACCCAAATCGTGAACAATCTACAAAAAATAATTTAGAAAATGATATCAAAAAATATCAAACCTTCATTTGACCTTGATCCGTTTTAAAATTTGAAGGAGAACTTGCCAAAATCAACGAAACCAGTCCATGTGCATTTTTATGTTTACTTAAACGATTGTAACCAACAGCTTTTAGACGATAAAAAATATTGTTTGGGGTGTAAACAAATGGTTGCTGTCCAGCATAATAATATCCTTGCCCAACTCCAAGGGAAGCAAGTAGTTGATTTAATTGAGCAACAACTCTGTCACAATCATCGCCAAAAAGTTCTGGACCAGAAACCGAAGCAGTCAAAGCAGTTGCACTCTAAATATTGGCTACATGAAAAATAAATTTTAATTGAAAATATACATTTAATATATCTTGTAAACTTTGGACAGATTGTTGTTGTTGAACAATGACTTGTTGATTGGGTGGCACTAATGGTTGAGTAGGAGCTGCTCCAAAAAATGATGTCATTGTGAAAAGACTAAAATTGGCAAAAAAAATTTTTTAATATTACACCAGCATTTGCGGATTAAAATTTGCGGACAAAAAAATTTGCGAACCTGAAATTTACGAAAGGGACGTTTCAGAGTAACATTTCAGGTAGGGACTATTCAGAGTATGCCGTTACGAAGTAGTTTGAGAGTACGGCAACTGGGGACGATTCAGTTTATCTTAAGTATTTATTGCCAGGCTGATCTTTGCGTTGCTATCAGAGTGGACCTTTTGCCTCATTTGGGAGGCATTTGCCCTCTTTTTGACCTTCTCGCCCCCTTTTTCCCCTTTCTCGACATTGCCCCCTTTTTAACCCGTTTTTGAGAGCCCACGCCTCCTTTTGGTGATTTGGAAAGGGCCACCCTGAACCTACATCTCCAAATTAATTCCTCGCACTAGCACTATAAAAGCAACTTGATTTTGAGCTTAATTATCAATACAACTCTACGTCTCCTGTTTCAACTTATTGTTAGTCCACGTCTACATATTTCTTTCTTCATTAAAGTAAGTTTCTCTCAGTTTCTTAATCTTTTGTTAAAAATTTTTCTTTCTTTTATTTTAGTGTCAGCCGCTACGACGACTACAGCACTTCTGGCGTTTCAATTGCTTTGGCCATTCTTGATCTGCGGAACGTTGCTGGGCTTATTTACTTGTTGCCGAAAAAAGGCAAAGACGGACGCTAATAGTAAATCCCAAGTGGGCCCATCGTCAAGTACGCGTACAGCCTTAGATGATTCTAAGAAGGGATCTCAGAAAGGCAAACCGAAGAAAAGTGAGTTTTCATTTGCTGAGCTTTTGAACAGCCTTTATTTTCTTTCAATTTTTAGAAGACAACCTTTCGAGCAAAAAAGATGCTGGAGTCGCAACATCTGCTGATGGGTTCCCTATCTTCCCAATACTGAAGACTGATAACTCAACAGTTGGTGAGTTGAATTTAAATTTTTCTAGCTAGGCTAGATACCTATATTTCTTTATTTTTCAGTTTGTACACTTTCGGCCTCTACTAATACTCCAAATGATGACAACAATGCAAAAACCGCATATGCGATGCAGAGTATGACAAAGTCTCTCGTCAAATCTGCACCGAAAACTGCCAAAGCTCCGGTGCCTCGGAAAGAAGCTGCTCCTCCTGCAGAACCTGCTTCGAAGGAAGAGAAGCCTGCTAAGGCACCAACGGATGCAAAAACGATGGTTACAAAAGAAGAGTCATCAAAAGCAACGAGTAAAGTGGAGACCCCAAAGTCTGCGACTTCAAAGACAGAGCCTTCGAAACCAGAGACTTCTAAGGATTCTCCAGCAACACCTGTGTCAACTCCAAAAGAGGAGGAGGAGAAAACGAAGAAGACTCAGGAGAGTAAAGAAACAGCTCAAACGACTGAAAGAAGTACGGAAGCGACCAAAAGTGGCACTGATTTGTCAACCGAAGAACAGAAGGAAACGGAGACTACGGACAAGGACAACTCAAACAAGGATTCTAACAAAGATGCCAGCGACAAAGAAAAAGAAAATTAGATGAATATGTGAATGATGGAAGATATTGTTAGCCATTATATCCCAGTAAAATGTTTGTATGTACATATTTCTTTATTGTAATTTATGTATGTAAATGTATGTATATATTCCACATTGTTTTCTTTGTTTTTGTAAGATAGTTAATAAGTAAATTTTGAGTTCAAAATATTTTGGCCTTTATTTTTCCTGGCGTAATATTACAGTAGAGAGCCTGATAAAAGCAGTCGCGATGAGAAACCTTGTAAAAATTAAATTTCATTTTTCAAAAATTTAAATTTCTTTTAAATTCAGAAAAATTTTATAAACCTTATTGTTAATGATAGATATAAGCAAAAGTGTTATGTTAAAAGAATCAAAAGGTGTTAAATATTATTGAGATGTTGAATGTAGTATCCTAAAAGATACAGTCGTTTTTGGCCTGTGGTATTTACTACACGAAGTGCTGACTGTACTATCTACCTATATATTTTTGATTTAGAAATAATTAAAAAAGTTTTGGCTGTACTTTAGCCGGTGGCCCACTCAGAAACGGGTCAAATTATATACCATTCGATTCGTCTCGGCGAGTTGAGTCGAATGGTACCACTCTTTTTTTGCGGAAATTCCTGCGAGCCGAGATATAGGTCCTTAAAAACCGAAAAACCATAGGGGGGACCAAGCACATTTTTGGGGTGAAAAATTCGAATATGCAAATAATAGCTCATTCGAAAGAGCTCGTCGAGCTGAGTCGAATGACATCAAAATCAACGAAATCCGACTTGATTTGACAAAGTTATGAGCATATGTTTTAGCTCCTTACCTTTGGTCTACGTGCAGGTTTTTCCTGCTGGGGAGGAAGCCAGACATGCCGACCGCAGCTAAAATAGGCATAAGTTTATGTTACGAGCCCAGACCCAGCGCCCGTAGACTCCCCGCGAGGCGCGTGCCGCAAAACCCCGCGCGAAGCGCGGGGTTTTGCACAAGCGACTCGCCGACGCACCATAGGTTTAGGTTTTTTGTATCATAACTTTGTCTAATCATGTTCAATCACGGTGATCTTGGTGTCATTCGACTTAGCTCGTCGAGCTCTTTCGAAAGAGCTATAACATGGTTAAAAAAATTTTTAATTCCAATAATCGCCCTTTTGGATCTTCGGTTTTTAGGGGTCTATATCTCGGTCAAATCAAGTCGGATTTCGTTGATTTTGGTGTCATTCGACTCAGCTCGAGGAGCTCTTTCGAATGAGCTATCATTCGAAAAATCGAATTTTTTACCCCAAAATTGAGCTTACTCCCCCCTATGGTTTTTCGATTTTCAGGTACCTATATCTCGGCTTGTAGGCGTTTTCGCAAAAAAAGAATGGTACCATTCGACTCAGCTCGCCGAGACGAATCGAATGGTATATATATCGAGGGGTTTCTGAGTGGGCCACCGGCTAAAGTATATCCAAAGTTTTCTTTACGAAATTTATTTTTCAATATCACAGGGATTAAAAAAACATTTCCAGTTTACTTTATTATTACAAATATGTATATGTAGTTTCAGTTCATTTTTGGACCACTTCTAATTTTTTGCAAATTTTGTCTTTTTTATTTTGTCTTGACTAATTAATTTGATTTATATTTGAATTTATGTGTTTTTAAAGAGTTTTATATATAAAAGTAAGATGTTCTTTGCAATACAAGTAAATGTCAAAGAAAATTAAAAGATGTCCAGGACAGGGCTGTAAATGAGGGAAGTGTAGTGGTTATTATTAAAAGATGATAAGGTGATAAGAAGAAAAGAAATTGTAAAGAAGGGAAAAGGTGGCAGCCTAGCGAGGAAATAAATAAATATAAATTGGTTGTCTAAATAATATTTAAAGTGCCATAATTCTTTAAAGGACAAGACAAAATTATTAAAATATTAAATTTCCTTGGATGGTCATTTTTGTTTAAAATTAATTTTTATATTATCCAGAATATGTTTGCAAACAAAATTAATTTTTGTTTTAATTTTAGATAAAAACTCCCTAATCTAAAAATTTGTTGTAATTTTATTTTATTAAAAAATATGTAAATTGTAAAGAAAATGAAAATATAATTAATTTAAATTTAATTTTTAGATTGAATATTTTTTATTATTTTTTTAAAATTAAATCCGAATTAACAATCTTTAAATTATTAATAATTTTTACATTATCTATTTATTTAATTATAAATTGTTTTTGTTTACATTAATTTTTTGATTATTCTCTAATTTAATACTTTTACTTTATAAAACAAAAGATATGAAAGTGCTGTTTAAGCAACAATTACAGCTGACTTTTGCAAATATATTCTTATTTTAATTACTTTTTTTGTTTATTTTTTGTTGTTGTTGTTTTTCTGTTTGTACTCTAATTAAAAACTAATAAATATATAAATACAATTAAATTATCAGGATTTTTATTAAGTATATTTTGTTACCATATAAATATTCTAAAGAAAAATTATTATTTCTTGTTTAATTTAATTTAAAAAAATATTATTTATCACTAGATAATTATAAAAATATTCTTTTTCAAAAAATGTATCACAATCCTCGTCTATTAAGTGTTGTTTTTTTCCATGCCATTTTTTCTGCTTTTGGAGATATTCAAGCTAGTGTAATTAATTATATGGCAGTTCCTTTAAGATCATTTTTTGGGCGTTCATTGCAGCAACGTTTTGGGATTGGGCCCAATAGTGAAATGTATTTATAAGAATTATTTTTTGAATTAAAAAATATTTTTTCTAAAGATTTGAATTTATATATTCAATAATTGCTTCCAGTTTCTTTGGGGGTGTTTTTATTGCCGGGGCAATAATGGCAATTTGTATGGAAAGATTGGGAAGAAAAGGCACATCTGTTTACCTTCGGTAGTTTATTTAAAAATGTTAATTTTAAAATATTTTTCAAGCTCTTTCATTGGAATTCTTTCATCTTTAGCTATGTTATCCGCTAAATGGCTTGATAAACCCGAACTTTTTTTAATCGGCCATTTTCTTGCTGGAATGGTCCAAACATTAAAAAATGTTCTTTTTATTTACATGGCTGAATGTGCCCCAACAGAATGTAGGGGATGGGCAGTTACAATTATTGGTTCTGGTGGAGGATTAATTTTATTGGTAAAAACGAGATTAGAAATATTGTTAATATTCAAATAATCATTAGTTACTTTCACCACTTTGTATGCCTGATATTTGGGGAAATGAAAGAGATTGGTGGTTAATACCAGCAATTTGTTTATTATTTGCAATGTGCCATATATTTTTAGCTGGAATTTATTTTCCCGAATCACCAAAACATTTATTTATTGGCGGAGAAAATAAATTAGAAGCAAAAATTTCTATTCATTTTTATCATGGAAAAAATGCTGATATTGGTAAATAAAAATAATTATTTTTTAAATAATTAATTATTCAGCACAAATTTTTGATGAATTTAATTCTGAACAATTAGTTGTGCATAGAAAAAATGTTTCTTTAAGTGATTTTTGGATTAGTCGACGTTTAAGGTAAAAAATGAAAAATATTTAATTAAAATAATTAAATATGTAGATGGGCTACAGCAATAACATTATTAGTTGCTTTTGTTCCCGCTTTTTCTTTTGCTAATCTTAAAGGGCAATATTTGGAATCTATGTTAATAAATTTTGGATTGAATCAGTCGGCAGCAATGGCCTCTACAATTGTAAAAAGTTTCTCTATTAAGATAAATATTTAATGGAATGTTATAAAATCAAAACAAATGAACGTTTAAAGAAAATTCAAAGCTAATTATAATTTTAAAAAGTATTCTTCTACCTCAAAATTGCTTTCAAAATAGTCGACCTTATTAAAATATAAATTTCCCTATTAAAAATAAATACATATTATTTAAGGTAATCACCGCTCTAGGCACTCCATTTAGTGTTCTAGCCCCAATTCTTGTTGAATCTAAAGGCCGCCGTCTTTTATTCTTAACAATTGCTTTACTCTCTTCTATTGAATTAGCATTTATTGCCTTTGCCCAATTTATTTTTGATAATTTTGGAAGTGGTTGGCTAGTTGCCGGGATTGCTTTAATTGGCTGTTCTTTTGGTCAAGCAAGTGTTAATCTTGGAATTTATAACATAAATCCAATGTTAATTAGTGAAATATTTCCATATCAATCGAGGGCAAAAGCTACACAGGTAAATTTTTTTATAAATTTAACCTCCTCTCATTTTATGTTATTTCAATAAATTTCAAATTATTGTAAGGATGATTCACCTAGCAGCATTTAAAACGCTTAGGCGGGGGATAAACGATCTAAAAAGGAAAAAGAGAAAGCATTAGTCGATGCCCCGGTAGCTCAGAGGTAGAGCTCCTGCATATAGTGAGCGAAAGCGCCTAGCAACAACTACCAGGTGGTCGCAGGTTCGAATCCTGCCCGGTGGCTAAACTTTTGCAAACTCTTTCTGGTGCCGCTAACAGGGATCCTCACTTGCTGCTGGGTGAACCAGCCGATCCACGGTCATGGCGCTTGACCGAGGGACCGGTCTGATGTAGGGATGGAGATGTAAGGATGATTCACCTAGCAGCATTTAAAACGCTTAGGCGGTGGATAAACGATCTAAAAAGGAAAAAGAGAAAGCATTAGTCGATGCCCCGGTAGCTCAGAGGTAGAGCTCCTGCATATAGTGAGCGAAAGCGCCTAGCAACAACTAGCAGGTGGTCGCAGGTTCGAATCCTGCCCGGTGGCTAAACTTTTGCAAACTCTTTCTTTATTCGGATTTTAAAAACAAAATAATTATTTTAAAATAAATTTTTAATTTTTTAGTTGACACAATTTCCGGCAATGTTAATAATTCTTTGCTTAGTTCTCGCCTACCCTTCAGCAACAAAAAATTTTGGATCATTATTTCTATTACCATTACTGGCCTTTAGTTTATTAATTATTTTTTTATTGTTTTTATGGCTACCAGAAACTAAAAGCAAACCAATAGACGAAATATTTAGAAATTTAGCAGATTCTCGAACTCCGTCTTTAACTGATTATGGAAGTATTGAATGTGGAGAAGTGAAAGGAGAGAAAAATAATTGGAAAAAGAATGAAAGAGAAAATTGTTTATTCTCTTAAATTTTGGAATTTTAATTTTAAAAATTGTTTTAATGATCTCATTTTGTATATAAAATTGTTTTTTTTAATTTAGTTTTTATTTTTTAAAATAAAATTTGATTTGAATTTTGTACTAACTTGCAAGTTTAGATCTATGTAAACTTAAACTAAAAAATTAATAATTCATTAATGATATTATTTTTGTTAATTTATTTCAAAGTCCACCCAAAATCATCCAATTTAAAAAATTAAATGGGCTTTTCATAAGTGTGTTATTTTCTAAAAAATTTATTTAATACTAAAATTTTTATTAAAATAATATTTGCAAAAAAAATATTTTTTAATTCCTTTTTTGAAATGTTCACGTTATAGCACCATTTGCTTTTTTAATTTCTCGAGATAAAAACGTGATTAAAAGGGCGTAATATAAATTTAATAATTTTATCAATAAATAACCTTGTACATTAGTATATATTTTTTTATTTCCATATAAAAATTAAATAAAAATATTATTTTGTTATCATTAATCCAAATATACGGTCACGTGATGTCTAAAATAAAATATAAAAAGCTGACATGAATTAACACGTGAATTAAATAAATTTATTTATTTCAAAGTCCACTCATACAATCACGCACTTTAATTTCAATCACAAAATTCCAAACCAAAATCATAGGTATTTAATTGATGGTAGATGATAAATGATATTATTTTTGTTAATTTAATAGTTAGCTAAAAAATATATTACACGTGAGTTCCAATGAAGTCTAATTCTAATTTAATATTTACTCATTTATTATTTTAAATAAAAATTAACGATAATTTAGATATAATTTTAATTCTAATTAAAAAAAAGATTAAAAATGGAATTGTTAACAAATAACGATAATATTGAAAACCAATACAAAATTGACTTAAATAATCACCAAAATTTTCAAAATAACAATGAAAACTCTGCTAATTCAATTGAAGATCAAATAAATATTGAAATTGACCAAATTTGTGTTAAAACTTTAAAAAATGAGGAAATTAACAATAATAATAAGCATTTACTCATTCTTGATGGTTATAGTTTAGCTGTAGAAGATTTGGTTAATACTTCCGATATAAATTGTCAAATAAAGGTTTTTGATTTTCATAAATAAATATACCGTATTTCCTAAAATAATACTCCCCCCTGAATTAGTACTCCCCCCTTAAATAATACTCCCCTTTGGAGGAGGGTTGAAAAATAGTACTCCCCCCTTAAATAGTACTCCCCCTAAAATAGTACTCCCCCCTAAAATATTTTTCCCCTATATTTGAAAAAAATTATAAAAGAAACATTGAATTATTCTATTGAAATTTACTTATTGAATTATTTTATTTATTCTGATTAGGGTTGTCAGTTTCACTTGATTCTTCGATAACCGAAACCGAACAGCATCTGTTGACCGAAAACGTACCGAAATTTTAACCTAAAATTTGTCGGCAATTAAAGGGATATAATTGATTAGTTGGTGGGGTAAAAGTGGATTTTGGGGATATAAAGGGATTATATCGGGTGATAAAATGTGTTCTAGATTGATCAAGTAGTATGGTTTGATAAAGGAATTTGAGAGAAAAATGAAGGTTGAGTGTTCGGGACGCACTCATTCCCGAGCGTTCAGGACGAAAATCTATTTGTTATCCCGCCTAATATGGATACCCTAGGATTCGTAGGGATATTCGAAGAAAAAGAGATGTGGAGGATATCGGTGATTAATGCTGATAAATCCCTAGACACAGCGATTAGGTACATCAATTGCGCAGTGACATTGAATAATATCGGCAGATATATGCGGATTAGTGAGATTACGAGGTTTGAAAAGATTAAGGGGTATATCAGTGTTTTTGAAGGATATCTAGGGAATTTTCTCATATCAAGTGTATTAACTGGTCGGGAGTTCAAGATGGATATAGAGGTAAATTTAGAAAATCCGTGTCGGATCCGTCATTTTTCAAATAACGAACTCAAATTGATTTAGAATTTTGAAATAAATTTTCTTATGATAAATCATAAATAAGGGTTGAAAAATAGTACTCCCCCCTGAATTAGTACTCCCCCCTTAAATAGTACTCCCCTTTGGAGGAGGGTTGAAAAATAGTACTCCCGGGAGTACTATTTTAGGAAATACGGTATATTGTCTAGGGTTAATAAATTATTTTCAATATTTAGTTGAAGGATGATGCTAGACAACGGATTTTGGATGCAAGAAAATTCCTTGAGAAGGTTGCAGCTGAACACAAAAGTTTGTTTATTTGTCAATATTTAAATACTTTATTTTATTAATTATTTATTATCTTATTTAAATTTTAGTAATATACGGAATAACAACTGGTTTTGGGACTTTTGCTAACGTCGAAATCCCTTCAGATGATTTAAGGCATTTATTATTTTTTTGATAATCATTTATTAAGTCTGAGTTTTATTATCCATGAATTTATAACCCCCAAAAAGTTTTTAAAAATTAAATTAATAGTTGTTAAATGTCTTAAGAAAAAATATGTATTAATGTTAGAGAACACATAGTATGTTACACGACTCATGTCAATACAGTTGACATTTAGTTATAAAACAGTAAAGTCCATTTGAGTCTCGAACCTTATTTGTTATAATTAAAAAAATTTTAAGGCAACTCCAGTTAAATTTAATTCGTTCACATGCTACTGGTTATGGAAAGCCTTTGGAACCTGCAAAAGCAAGAATGTTGTTAGCACTCAGAATTAACGTTTTAGCTAAAGGCCATAGCGGAATTTCACTTGAAAATTTAGAAAAATTGATTGATGCTTTTAATGGTAGATAATTTTCAGAAAATTTTCTGTTATTTTATATCTCCTTAATTCCAGCATATTGTGTCTCTTATGTTCCAGAACAGGGAACTGTTGGTTGCAGTGGAGATCTTTGCCCACTCGCACATTTAGCTCTAGGACTTCTTGGTGAAGGCCAAATGTGGTCACCCTCAACTGGTTGGGCACCAGCCTGTGATGTTCTTAAACATAATGGTCTTCGACCTATTGAATTGAGCTACAAAGAAGGGTTAGCTTTAATAAATGGCACCCAATTAGTCTCATCAATCGGAGCACTTGGTTTAATACAAACCAAATTTGATAATTAAATAGTAAATTTCTAGCTGTTGTTCGTGCAGAGAATTTAGCTAAACAGGCGGATGTAATTGCTGCATTAACTTTAGATGTACTTAAAGGGACAACTAGAGCTTTTGATGCTAGTTAGTCAATAAATAAATATTTTTATAAATATTTTTATAGAAGTCCATAAAGTTAGGCCTCACAAAGGTCAAAACCTTGTTGCAGGAAGATTACGAGCTTTACTACATTCCGACTTAAATAGATCGGAAATTGCTGGTAATTAATTAAATGGAAAATTTAAAAAATTCTTTAAAAGAATCTCATCGGCATTGTGGTAAAGTCCAGGATGCCTACACTCTTAGATGTGTTCCACAAGTTCATGGAGTTACCCATGATACAATTGAATTTGTTAAAGAATTATTAAATATAGAAATTAATTCGGCAACTGATAATCCTTTAATCTTTTCTGATGTTGAGGAAATTATTTCTGGAGGTTAGAATATTTAAAAGAATTCTGTGAAAAAATTGTAATTAATAAAATTATTTTAAGGAAATTTTCATGGAGAATACCCAGCAAAGGTAATTTAGAATAAGTACCTAAATATATTTAGAAAGAAATATTTTTTTAAAAGGCTCTCGATTATTTAGCAATTGCTGTTCATGAATTGGCACAAATGAGTGAAAGAAGATTAGAGAGACTTGTTAATTATATTTCAAAGAATAATATAAACTTTTATTTCATAAAAAGGTTAACCACGAACTTAGCGGCCTTCCAACATTTCTCACACAAAATGGAGGTCTTAATTCTGGTTTTATGACAGTCCAACTTTGTGCTGCATCATTAGTTTCTGAAAATAAAGTTCTTTGCCATCCATCTTCTGCTGATTCTATTCCAACTAGTTGTAACCAAGAAGATCATGTATCCATGGGAGGTTTCTCTGCTAGAAAAGCATTAAAGGTTGTTGAACATACAGAGGCAGGTATGTAAAATTATTTTACGTTCGTAAAGAATTTCCATTTGTTATTTAAAGTTTTGGCCATGGAATTATTGGCTGCTTGCCAGGCTTGAAAAATATTTTTAATGAGAAATATGTATATTTCTATTTTAGGGAATAGAATTTCTAAAACCGTTAAAGAGTACAGAAACTCTTCAAAAAGTTTATGAGTTGGTTCGGAGTGTTGCACCGTATGTTTTTAATATTTACTAATTAATTGATACATTAGCTATTTAATATTTAATTAGTTGAATTAATACATTAATTATTGTGTATTAATTAGTACATTAAATTAGTACATTAATTATTTAATTCAATATTATTTCCCAACTTTTTAATATTTTTATAGTCCATTAAATGATGATCGGTATATGCAACCAGAAATTCAATCAGTTATTTCATTAGTTCGTTCAAATAAAATATGGACAGTTGTAGAACCACATTTGGAAAGAATGAGTAAATTAGAATCTTGTAGACCTGATTTACTGCGACAGGAAGCTGGAAGTCCAACTGCTGCTGTTTTGGGTTTTCCTGATTTTTCACGAGTTTTATAATAGAAAAATAAATTTAAAAAGGACTTTTTTAAACCTATATTAAATATAATGTAATATCAGTTATATAATTGTAAAAAGTTTAAAATAAATAAAATATTTTTACCACAAAACTCTAAATGTTAATTATATTAATTATCATATGGCAATAGTGTTCTGTTGTGAATGAGTGAAATCATTTCTAAAAATTAATATAATTTTGCTGGATAAATTCTGCACTGTATTTTTACGATTACTAAATAAACTTTTCATTAATTCGCAGCCTTCTAATCGGATTAAAAAATATCGCTCAAATCAATACAAATATATAACAATATGTATAAAATAAAAAATTTTAATGGAATCCTCTTCATATATTGAATATTTTTTGCCTCGTATTTATTCCAAACTGACCTCCAAAATAATTAATAAAAATTTTATTTAATGTAAGACTAAAATTATGTTTTAATATTTTTGAATAAAAAATAATTCTTTACTTTATAATTTATCCAAAAATATCTCTAAACTAAAACAATTAAATAGCCGTGTGTTAATCAGAAAAAAACATTCTCGATAAATAAAATATTTATAAATTCTTTTCTTGTTGAAAGAGTGCTCGCGCGCACGTAATTTCTCTTTACTTTCCATTCGTCGCGGTTTTTCGTCTTTCCCTCAAGTAAATGGTTCCCATTGTATATAATTTCATAGGCCACCTTTCCATCAACCAATTTTCTACTTTCTATTTGTGCAGCAATCTCCTCGCTTTAAAATCCCGTCTCGGTTAATCTTTTTTATTCGACCACCTTTTTCAATTTTTAGTGTTAAAAAACTTACTTTAAAACCTTCCTCTCAATTACATATATAATTGCCAGATTTCTCCCCTTAAATGGAAAATATCCTCATATTTTATTAATTGATTGAAAAATAACTCGAAATAGAGTTATCTTTAATAACTTAAAAAATTATTAATTTAACAAAAATATTCCTTTTATATAAAATAATAATTACTAAATAAATGGAAAGACAAACAAAAGAAATTATTTCCTGTCTCTTTGAAACGGTCGGCTGACTGGCGCCAGTCGTACCTTCTCCTAAATAGACAAAATTAAACACACGTTGCTTATTTGCTTATCTTTGATGGCGCTATTTTAAACAAAACTTTTATTGTCCAAAATTTTTATCTTTGTTTTAGGCATTATTTAGTTTTTTATTATCTTATTTCGACCAATAAAATTGTAAAATAAACCGAAAATTCTCTAAATTTTTACCCATTCCTGTCAATTAAATATTAGAACAAAAAATTCAAAAAATTAATTTCTATCATTATTTGTTTCAGTTTTTTCTTAATTAAATTTTTGTATAATTTTATTGCTCTTTATTTATTAATTAATTTTCCTCAATTAATCATTCTTAAGTTAAATAATATTGACTTTCATTTAAAATAAAACGATTCATTAATTAATTTTTTAGTAAAAATAATTTCCTTATAAATGCATGTTATTGCCCAGTCAGCGGCCGAACAAAATAAGAAATAATAAAGAAAACATCAAAAAGTATAAAACAACAGAGAAACTTGAAATGGGTAAAAAAGGAAGTGAGTAAATAAAATATTTTAAAACAGGGCTTCGATCGAGAAAATGTTATGTTGAAGTACTAAAAGTTTAATTTATAAGTACATAGCGAAAAAAATTTTTCCCAGATACATAAGCCGTCACAAAAAAATTTTTTTAGCGCTGTCCAAACGAAAATTTTGAGTATTTTAAGGTTAAATTTACTTTTTCAACCAAAAAGTCTAAAGTCTATATAAATAAATACATTTTCAATTTCTTAAGTACGAAGGTCGATTTATAAGTACTGTACTTCCAAAATAAGTACGAATCGAAGCCCTGTTTTAAAATAATTGAAAGGATTAATATGCTTATATTTAAGTAACACATAGAACTTTTAATTTATAAATATCTGGAATTTTTATAGGAAAGGCAACAGATTACGACGAAATTCTCAAAGAACAACAACATCTCTCAAACACATCTGCAGGTCCTTCTTCTCCTCCTCGCAATGAAGGGTTTGTTGCCCGAAGTTGGTCAAGAATTTCAGGACGCCGTAAACGACAAAAACGAAAATCGGCGGCCGAAGGAAGGCAACAACACAATGAAATGATACAAGACAACAATAGAAGGGGCAGGGGAGTATCTCAGAATGCCCAACTTGAATGGCCTTCAAATAATGACAGAAATTTGGTTGGATTAACACATCTCGAAAGGGAGGAAGCGAGAACAAAAAAGTAAATAAAACTCTTATAAATTTATTACAAGTTATGGGGCTATTAAATCTGCAAAAGATTTATACTGTAGGACTTTTTACAAAAACCGAATTTTTAAAAATTTTTTTAAAAATGTCGAAATGCTTTAAAAATGAGATTTCATCCCAGACATTTGACAATAGAGTACAAGCTAAAATTAGCATTTCCAATTTTCTTTGATTGAATAATAAATTTAACAATAGGTTGGTTTGGCTTTGTCTCATTGTTATTTTTGTTTATTTTAAAAGAATTCCAAAATTTTCCTGAGATTTTTTTGTTTTCTAGGCCTTTTCTTAGCCGAAGTATGGACAGGCTACGGCGTTCAATTCGTCGTTCATTCCGAAGAGGTGGTGGACAAGCCGGGCAAGCCCTAACAAGCTCAGCAACAGAAGGGCACCCATCCTCTTCAACAAATCCACAACCAAGTGGAAATGGAACTAGCGGAGTTGGTGGAACGTCAAATAAAAGTTATTGTCATTCAGATGAAGTTGCAGTACGTTCTGCAGCTTGTTCTTTTCCAGTCAAGGTTATTTGAAATTTTTGAAATTATTTTTTAAATTATTTAAAAACAGTATTTGGGCTCTTGTGAAGTGTTTGAATCACGAGGCATGCTTGTGTGTGAGAGTGCTTTGCAGCATCTTAGAGTTTGTTTTTAAAAAAATTTTCAAAAAATGATAACGAATATAATCATGCGCTAGATTATGGTTGGATATAATTTTGGGTTTTTTTTGGAAAAATATTTTTTCTGGGACCAAATGTCATCTTAAAAATTTCAATTTTTAAATTTTAAAACATGCATAATTTTGCCTTATAAACTTAATTAATTTTCACTTTTATAGAACCGTAAAAGACCGGTCAAAGCACTACTTTATGTGTCTGGAGATGGAATTAGAGTTGTTGATCAAACAAATAATAGAGGGTTAATTGTTGATCAAACTATAGAAAAAGTTTCGGTTTGTTTTTAATTGATGAAAAGGTGTATTCCTTTTAATTTTAGTTTTGTTCTCCCGATCGTCATAATGATAAAGGGTTTGCTTATATATGTCGGGATGGGGCAACAAGGCGTTGGATTTGTCATGGATTTCATGCAACTAAAGAATCGGTATTTAAAAAATAATATGTTAATATTGAACCGGACAGACCCCCTTTTTCCTCCCCATTTTTCCCCTATATTTTTACAAAATGGTCAGACTTTTCCCTTTTTTCCATCCAAATTGCCTTTTTAATTTTTGCCTACAATCAAATTTAATTTTATACAAGTGAAAGTCTATGCCAAAAATTGAGAAAATGAGTCTTCTTAAAAAGGCAATTTGGATAGAAAAAAGTAAAAAGCCTGACCATTTTGCAAAAAAATAAAGGGGAAAATGTGAAGGAAAAAGGGTCTCCGGTTCAATATTGATAAATTGCCTTTTTATTAATTATTATGTGGGGATTTCACAATTTAAGTTTGCGATAGTTTTTAATAATATTTTATTAAACGATCAAACTAATATTTATTTAACCATTCTTATGAAAAACTTTGGTTATTTCTTAAAATTATTTTTGCCCCATTGATTTTGCCTTTTTTCTATTGATTAGAAAAACATTTTTATTTAAAATTTATTAAAGGGAGAGCGTCTTAGTCATGCAGTTGGATGTGCTTTTACTGTTTGTTTGGAAAGAAAACGAAAAAGAGATGCTGAATCTGAGGCTTTTAAGGATGCCCAAGCATTAAAAAATTCATTAAATAGCCCTACAAATCAAAAATCTCCAAATAATTTCAAATTTTTTGATCAAACTGATCAATCGTCTTTGGCTAGGTTTGAGGCATTTTTTGGTAAAAATTATTTAAATTTCTATAAATTTAAGAACAAATCAAGGATATCGTTCTTTTCGGCATTTAAGTATTTCTGAACGTCGTTTGGATCCCCAAAAAGCAATTCTCGTTGAACAAGAAAAGATAAAGCCGAGTAATTCATCTTCCGATGTGTCAACAAGTAATAGTTTGTCTTCTCCAATTGGAGGATTTACAGCAACACCTAGACCTTCAGGGAATCCTTCGCTTTTTGAACGATCGGTTATTTTTTTTACAAATTTTTAAAGGGGGTTTTATAAAATTAAAAGTAATGAAAATTTATTTAGAATTTTTCAGAAAAAATGACTTAAATGACTAGACCTTCCGGTTACTTTAGTACTAACTAGAGGTCGGCGCAGGACGGGATTTTCCGGAATCCCGAAATCTAGGATTTTTTGATTTTCGGGATCCTGGATTTTTTCGGGATTTATCCCTCGGGCATCGGTTAAGAAAAAAATCCCGACTCGTGATTTCGGATGTGCGATTTTGCCGACCTCTAGTATTAAATCCACATGAACTCTCCTACTTTTTCACGTGCAATAAACAGATTTAAATATTTTTAGCGTTCTCTTCGCCCTTCTTTTTCAACTTCTTCATTTCCTGCATTTAATGCCCCACCAGTTTCTGTCAACAAATCTTTTAATACATTACAACACAACAGTAGGCCTTCAACAACCCGTTTTATAACAAGAAAGTCTTTGTATAATGAACCAATTTGGGAGGGAGATGATGATCAGGGGAATGAACAAAATTCATTTGATAATGCTTCTCTATCCAACTGGAATAGCCGTTTTTATAGAACCATGCCTTATTCTATGCCGAACTTTGTTGAAGGTAGTTAAATTAATTTTGGAACTTTTTCGATTTAATTGGGGCGTTAATTATGGAAGGAGCGGAATACACGCTTTCACAAATTTTTGCCTCCTTACCTATTAGTGATCGAGATTTTTGAAAAGCCTGGACCTGTTCCCGGGTTCCGGGTTTGATCTATTGACTTGGGCCGGATCCTAGGCCTTTAGTTCATGAAAAACCTAGGAAGATCAAAAAATGCCTGGGCCTTGACTCTGGGTACAGGAAAAGCCCAGGCCTTGGTCCAGACCCACCTCGATCAAAAAACCTATGAAATTTTGACCTTTGCCATATAGTTCAAAAAATCTCCCCTCCCCCACCCCATTTTTTCATCTCCAAATGAGAAAAATCGAAAATAAACTCATTCTTCGGTGTTTCATATAAATAAATTTTGATTAGAAATTTATTTCGATATTAAAATAATAGCAAAAAAATTGAAAACTAATTTATTTTTTTTTCCGTTTAAAATTTTTTAAATTAATATTTTTTATCTTCTTTTAACCCTAGTTTTTGACAATTTTTATATCATCTTTCAACAATTTAATTTTTTTGTCATTTTTTACTTTTTCCCCAATAGAATTACATTTTTACAAAATTTATTTAACCAAAAAACGAAACAACAGAATTACTATTTTGAATATTTATTAAATTTATTTATCAGTACCCACTTTAGAGAGTTTTTTTTGTTTGCAAACTGTCGTTATACTATATTAATCATTTTTAAATGCTAAACCATTTTTGCAGTTTTATCATAATTTTTTAAAAAATTATGATAAATCCATTCATTTTGGCCTTTTTAATTTTTTTTTATTTTATAATTTGTGATTTTTATTTTCTTGCTATTTTTATTTATATAAAATTAAGGCTTTCTTTAAATTAATTTTTCTTTAGAAAATACAATAACATTTAAATTAAAAATGAATATTTTTAGGTGGTGTAAACAATTGGCCTCCTCCTCTAATTAACAGCATGATTCCACCGCCTACCATCTACGAGGAGAATAAACAACAAAATCAATCACTTCTACAACAATCAAACGTTCCAATGCAGTCGAAATCTTACAGGAATTTTGAGGAGGAACAACGAGGGAGTGGAAACAGGTAAATTTAATTATTTTTAGAAAACTTTTTGGTAAAATTAACAGTTTCGGTCAACTGTGCCTTTGAAGTTTTTGTTAAATTTTTGTAACTAAATTTAATAATTCTATAGTAATTTCTCTCCTAAACATTTTTCTAACATTTTTGGGTATTTTCACGAGAATTTGACTAAAAATCTTCCTTCTACCCAATCTCATTAATCTTTCTATATTTTTATCTTTTATATATTTAATTTTAGCGGTTCCCCGCCAGCTGATCCTTTTACTACAACCAGTATTGAACAACAACAGGAATCTCCACCACCCTTAAAAGCTGAGGACTGGTTAGAACAACATTTTCGCCGAGCAGCAACAATTTCTCGTTCATCATCTTTTGCTTGTGACAATCTTCCTCCTTCAATGATTTTACCCCGTTCAACAACAATTGATTGGTTGTCTAATCAAGTTAAACCAGCTAATGATATTCAACAACTTCGTCAAAGTTGGACTCAATTTCCTCAGCAGCAGACTTCTAAAGGGGAGAATTTCCTAGCTAATCCTGGGCATGAAATAAATTTGGCAAACAATTCAAGTCTTCCACCATTACAGCCTTTGCCTCCTTTGCCACCTTTTGGTAATTTTTAAATAAATATTTAGCTATATTTTTGAAATTACTATTATTCTAAATAATACGTAATAAATAAAATTTAATTTTCAGTCAGAAACCCTTCCTGGTCACAAACAATGCGTCAAGAGCCGACTGCTGAAACCCTACCAATTCCAATTTCTTCAGCAAATAGTAAAAAAACAACGCCTCCTAAATCCTTATCGCCTTTGAATGAAAAGAAAAATTCCAAAATTCTTCGTGATGAGTCTATAAGTGGAAATAAAACACATTCGCGTAAAGCTTCGTCTGGTCGTCGAATTGAATATCAATTGCTACAGGAAACTGATTTCTCTTTAAGCCCACCAAGAAGTGAATATTCCTTGTTTAAAGGAGTTGGGGATGGGTCTTTTTCAGACAAACAAATTTCTGTTGCAGACCCTTTTGATGTTAATTGGTCACAAAAAGTTTTGGAAGAGACTGCTCGACAACATCAACAAAATAATCGAGGTACATGGCATAAAGATGCACCTGAACCAGAAAAGACAATGAGTTAATTAGAAATATATGTGAAACCCTTGAGAATAATTTTATAATTATTTTTGCTATTTTGAATGAGATAACTTTTATTTTAGAACGTTTTATTTAATATTTTTTTAAATTTGTCCAACATTTATGCGAAATTTAGTAATATTATTTGGTTTGTCTTGAGCATTTTGAGTTAACTATTAATACATTTCCCTTAATTTAATTTTATTTAGAAATTAATAAATAAACGTATTTTTCCAAATAAAGCTCCATTCTCTAATACAGCCCCAGTCTGGAGGTTAGTTGAAAAATACAGCCCCATGGGGCTGTATTTGGAAAAATACGTTAATTTTTTCTACACATTTTTATAGAAATATTTTAACATTTATCTGTTCTATGTCTGTGAAAATTTTGATTACAGTCGGATTCATTTGCCCAATTTTTACAATAATGTTGACTGTAATTATTGTTTTAAAGTTTTCGTTGCCAAATATTTTTTAAATTCCCTATATATTTAAGCGATCCAAAGAACACAAAATTGTACTTTCCTTTTCATTAATTTAATTAAAAGTTTGAGGTAAATTGTTTTGTTTTCTTTAAAAATAAATTATATTTTTTCTATAATAATTTAATTAGTTTGTTTAACTTTTCTTTAATGCAATAAATAACTTGTTTAATAATAAAAGTTTTTTTCAAATTGTTTAATTTTTATGTTTACTTTGAAAATTCATAGAACATTAAATTACTAGATACTTTAACATTTTGCGCTTAAATATTTGGGCAAGTATATCATTAATATTTTTTAATTGGAATAACTTTTTATGTCATTAATACTACTACAAAAGTACAAAATTTATTTGCTTTAAAGCCATTTTTTTATAAATCTTGTTTTTTTCTTTCATAGAAATAAACGTTAAATTAAATTTAAAAAATTATTTTTTTTGTAAGATTTTATTTTTAAATGACGATAAGTTAACAATAGACTGTGAGAAGTTTGAAAAATATTTTAGAATAAATTGTTGTCTTTCTTTCAATTTTATTTTTATTGTTATACGGCAAAGAATTTTAAAACAAGAGCAGACTTTGCTTTTTAATTTTTTGGTATTGTTTAAAAATTAAAATGACGTTTTTAAATAATTTTAAAAATTAAATAAAATTTTATTCATTAAAAAATTTTTTTAATTAAAATTATTACCGGATATGCTTAATCTACAATGTTTAGTTCCGTCAATTTAAATTCATATTTTTTGCCAAAAAACCATCTTAACACTTAAAACCAATTTAAAACCCTCCACCTACTCTTTCAATTATAGTTTTAATCTTTTTATAACGTAAATGGATAATTAATTAATTAAGTAGAGTTTTTGCTATATTAATTTACTGCCAAGGTTTAAAATAATTTAAAAATCCCTTTTATTTTTCAATCTCCTTTCCCTCACATTATTTTAAAACTAGCACATTTTTCCCACAGATTTAATAAATTTACACGCGCGAATAACTAAAAAGGGATTTATTTTTAATTATTATCTTTTGCATATTAAACTCTCACACTAGCTATTAAACCATGACCTCTAATCCTTATTTTACATAAATTTTCTATTTATGGTAAGGCTAATTAGCTTTTAAATAGGTGGGCGGCTTTAATATTCTTTTGTCTTTCAATAAATAAAAGGCATGACTTTCTTAGACCAGTCAGTCATATTTAGAGTTAAATTTTTTTCCATAAAGAAGGCTTAAATTATATTTTTGACATCGATTTGACTGAATACCTATTTACAATCAATCCATGGTACTTATCGGTTATACGCCCACAAACTGAGTGCCAACCAAATTTGAGCGGCTTTTACTTTTTGATTCCTAATCTAATTTAAATAAATCTTATATCATTCGAAATCCCTCGATAAGTGTACCTTTTTTCTATAGGATAGATCAAGTCTGATCACTCATTAAAAAGTTTTCACACTTATCGGGCTGTACTATTTTAGCGAGTGATCAGACTTGATCCATTAAGTCTCCTAAGGAAAATTAATTGGCTTTAATTACAGAAATTTAAATTTTATATATAAATTATCTAAAAGTTATTTAATTAATCTTCTCTTTTTCTACTTTCAATACTTTTTTACTGTTTACTTCAAACAATAGAGTTTTGCTTTTCTTTTTTATATTTCACGTCCGTTTTCTGTACTTTCTAGCTCCGGCGTCATATACATATTTTGTTTAAATTATAACGACAAAAAATATTTTAACAAACAATAAGTACATATTTATTTAAATTATATTTAAATAATTTTATTTTTTATTTCTTTTTCCGTTTACGTAAATTATTTAATTTTTTTCTATTCAGAAAAATAAACAAAAGATTTTCTATAAAAGAAAATATTTGTTTCTACAAATTCTCTTTTTAGAATATTTATTGCGCGAAATTTACATATATTTTTAACGTAAAGGAATCAATGTCCAAATTTATTTTGTATAGAAATTTGTGAAAATAATTACAGGAATTAGCTAAATTCAATTTGTAGTAAATTAAAAGGGAAGAGTTCTTCCCGACGGAAGAGAATTTTCAATCTCACTTACTATATTCGAGTATCTCTAGATTCCTTTCATAAACAATTATCCTTCAAATTATAATTTTACTTTATTAATAAACATGAAATTATATTAAAAAATTAAAAAAATATTTTTAAACAAGCTAATAATTAAACTTTAACCAATTTTTGTAAGCTGTTAGCTGCTACTTTAATTTCCTTCAAAAAGAATTATGAATCATACTACATACATATGTAAATTTATTTATCCAATATGTTAGGAAATAAAATTTTATAAACTTCCTTGTTATTAAGCTTAAAGTACTTTCTTTTCAAAATTAACTTTTACGGACTTTAAACTTCCTTATTAAAACAACTTTTTATTTTATTAGTTAAAAAATAATTTTTTTTAAGTTTAATTATTTAATAAATATTTTAATAAATTTTCTTTTTATCTCACATTTTCCATAGGAATTCCCTTTTTATTAAATTTTCCGGCGGATGTTTTAGCCATGTGTTTATTTAAAAATACGGGATTTTTCATAGCACGAGACTTTAAATTTTAAAAATAAAATTAATCCTTTAAAACACTCATTTTTATCCACACTTTTTTGAAAAAGTTGTTCTGCCTCTTTTATTAATTTTCATTAACTGCGTCAATATTTAAATAATAAAAATATTTATTTTAGAGATTTTCTTGGATTACTTTACATCCTTAAATATTTTTTAAAAAGTATTTTTTAAATCAAAACCTAAATTCCTTCAAATGTTCTTGTTCTTCTTGTTAAATTTATTTATAATTTTGGTTGAATTCTGCATTGTTTCTTCGGTAAATAATTAATTATATTCTTAAACTCTTTAAACAAGCTCATTAATAAGCTTACTCAGTTTAAAGATTTTTTAAAAATTATTCCAAAGACTTAAAAAAGTTTTTATTTTTAGACTTTATTAAAAAAGCTAAAGAATTATTTTTATAGTCAAAAAATAATAATAATATATTAATAATTAACTTTTTGACAGTTTTATTAAAATAATAATTTTATCATTAATTTTTTAGTTCGCCCATAATATCAGACCAAATTATTATTATCAACAACAAATTCAGCCAATTAATGAGGATATTTCTATCCCGTTAGTCTCTAAAAAAGCTTTTGACAGAGTTGATGTCTCTACTTTTGATTTCAACAAAAGATTTAACGATTTAGAAGATAACACATCACCTTTAGGGAAATTATTTTTCCCCTCTCCTTCCAAACAACAAAAATTAACTAAAAATCCTCGTCACATAAATTCATCAATTTATGGACCAAGAAGACAAATAAATTTACTAAAATCTTCTTATTTATCCTCTTCTCCGAGGAAACGACCTGTAGCAAGAATTTATGGATTTGGAATTTTCGGACCGTTAAAACTTAAAAGAAATTTATAAAATTATCTTTAATTTTTTGTGAAATTAATATATTTTAATAATATAATAATAAATTTTTAGATTTATACAAAATAAATTTTTAAAAGAATTTTTAAAAATATTTTAAATTAGTATATTTATTTTATTAGCAAGAATTATCAAAATTGTCCATACTAACGAACAGAGGTTGATTGGAATTCCGATTTCCAAAAATTTACGCTGATTTCCGATTTCCGACAGTTCCGATTTCCGGCACTTTTATCATTCCCGATCGACCTTTGCTAAGGAAGACGTTCCTTTATTCGATATTCCATATACTTCAATACCCGATACGTAAAATATCCAAATAGATTTCTAGAATTACTAAAGAGTTAAATCTGGTCAAGAATTTATTTAATGATTATATAAAGCAAGAAAAGAATAAAAAAATTTTAAAATTAACTTTAAAAATATTCTCAGATTGTTAAGACTACATATCTTGTCTTCAAGAAAAATTACTAGATTCTAGTTTGATTATTAACGGGCACAGCAGGCTGTACTAAAATAGTATTGACTTGTTGTACTTTGTTATTTCGAATTATTTTATATAAATGAAGACAATCATTTCTAATTGTTTTATTTAAAGTTAAATAAATTATTGGAGGAATGCCTGAATAAATTTAAGTTTTGAATTAATTTAAAAAATATTTAAACTCACCATGAATATGAAACCTAAAAATAAAATAAATTTAAAATTTAAATTGATTATTGTGAACACAAGTAAAAACTTGCCATAAAAACTCAGCTAAAATACTTATCCATTTTTGTTGAGTTGCTGTATATTGCATAATTATATAAAATACACATTGTGTTGTGTTTAACAAAGAAATTACAAAGACTTGTAAAAGTACCTTTAAAATTAATTAAAATGTATGTTATTGTTGTCTCTGTTTAGGTTCAAATAAAAAAGTATAATTACTCGTTTTAAAGTAAGAGTTAAGGAGAGGGTATCTTATTCGAATTACGAAAATTTAGAAAAAATCTTGCATAGTGTAAAAAATTAATAATTTTTAGTATAAATTTGTACTTGACTTTTACGTCATAGCACTTTTATAATTATTTAAACCATTATTCTTTGCAAAAGAATAATTATCTTCGTTTTTTCTAAATTATTATCTTCATTCTAAATAGAAAAACCTACTAAAAAACTCGTCACAGAGTTTTTAGCTTCACGTAATACATAAAAATATTTCCTACCATTCTCTCCAAATGGCTAATTGAAAAATGAGTATTACCATTATTTAAATTAGTTGTTTGTTTGTATTTTTGATTTTTGATTAGTAAAGCGATAGCAAAAATTAAATATATTGCCGGAGAAAGGACGGCTAAAATAAAATTGTGATATGTAGGTAGACTGTCGAAAATAAACTGAAATAAAATATACATACATAATTAATTTATCTCCAAATAACCTCTCCATAATCTTCTCTATAACCAACAAAAGGATAGAAAAACCACGCAAAATAAATTCCAGAAAAAAGAATTGGTTTAATAAAAAACATGCAATATAGGGCATATAAAGTACAAAATAATAACCAAACAAAAATACGAATTCCTTTAAAAAGAAATTCAGCAATTGTTCGGAAAAACATCTGTAAACAACGATTGAGTGCCAAAACCTATAATAAATCAAGATTAAAAACTAAATTGGAGAATCTATTTTTATCTAATCACATAGAGTAAAATATGCTAGATAAGTAAACTGGATTAAAAAATCTGTTCAGTATACATAATTGCTTAAACTTTTGAAATTTCAAGTCAAATCTGGCATGGTAGAATAAAACGTTTGAAAAATTATGAAACAGGTTAGACTAATTGTAAATATGTTATTAGACTTTTGAGTAAATTTGACATAACTTTTCTTGAATAAATGTAAAAAGATATTTTTAATTCCTCTCCTTTCATTAGTATCGTGATTGCTTCTGACTTTAACTCTATCTAATAATTACTCTAAAATTCTCTGCCTCCACCTTTCTATAGAAGAGCTGCATTTCTAATGTTTAAAACCTTAAAGAATTTCAACTTTCCAGATCAGGGCTAAAAAGCCAGAAATTGGATATGGGAAATCGACCATCCTCTACAAGATGCTATAAGATTTTGAAGGATTTTGTTGGTTAAATTAAGTTATATTTCCCTTGATAGAATCATTTTATTAATAATAGTTTCCAATAAATTTTATCTTTGTGGTTCCTTTATATCTCTGATTTTATGCTTAATTCAAAGGAAATTATCAACAAAACTTCGGCTCTCAAATATTTATATTCAATAAACTAACCAAATTAGCACTACTCTCAGCAACCCAAACAACTTAAATTTTAATATTTTTTTTAATTTTGCAAATACTTACAATTAGCTAGTGTTCCAGCTAAAAAGATAAGTGTTGGATATGAACAGAAAACAGCTCCTTGTAGAGCTAGTATCGGATGTAAAAATCCAATAATTAACAAAGCAACTAGATCAACAATACCAATATATAAAAGAATAGTATAACAATCATTTTTCCAATGTTGTTTCCATATAGAATACAAACAAGGCAAATAAAGCAGAAAATATATTATTCCCAATATTAAATTAATTAGTGCTTCTATTGTTAAACGACGGTCTTCTATTGGAATTGAATCAATTACTAAATTAGTACAATTGTAAAGACGTTCGTATTCTTGATGTTTAAATAAAAATAATTCCATTTTATTGATTTTAAAATTAATAAAAAAATTATTTTTCAAAAATTAATTTAAATAAGAATTATTGTGGCATTTCCTTATACTAAATAATTTATTTATAATAATTTATATGTATATAAATTATTTTTAAACCAAATATAATTATATTAATTAATTTTTAAAAATAATAAATTTTTTTAAAATATAAATTAAAGGAGCCATATTTTAATAATTTGAATAGTTAGACAAGATTAAGCATTCTATAATTTATTGCTTTTCCTTTTTTGTATATTTTTATGTACTTTTTTTACCATTTACAACATTACATTATTAAAATCAACTACAATAACACATAAATGAAAAAAAACCAACGGAAAAAGCTTAAAAAAAGTTTTTTTATAAAAAATTATTATTTTGTTATTAATTATTTATTAATTACAAAATGTAATTAACAATTTACTTATAAAATATGTAAATATATTAATTTATTTTCTGCTAAATTATTGTAAAAAACTTTTTTTTGCAACTTTTTTTGTTTTTCTTAATTAATTAATTTATGAGTAAAATATTAATTAATTAATTAATTAATATATTAATATTTTTAAATTAAATATCGTGATGTCTAGAAATACCTAATTTTTCAAATAAATATTTTTGAGATATATTTGTAGAATACCTAATTTCACAAGGAAATTAAATTAAAAGTTAAATAATATTTTTTAAATATTTTTTTGTTCGACATAAAAAATAATTTTATTTAACTATACAATATTTATTTATACAGAATATCTTCTTTTATATTTCAAATAACTTGTTTTTATTTTTATTAATAATTCCAAATTTATTTAAATGTTTTTGTAAAAAGAAATATGAAAATTATAAAGAAAATAAAACTATGTAACGGAAAAGTTGAACAAAAAACAGAAAATAAAAAATACAAAATGTTTATATTTTTCTATATTTGTAAATTTATTTAAACAAAAAAAGAATAAAATAACACATTAATAATTAATAAATATAATGTTTTCTGCGAATATGTTTAAAATACTGTACGTGATTGATAACCAATGTTCGACAGATGGATTTTTCTATACCGGTACTGGAGACCGTAATGTACCGAAAACTTTTAAAAACCATGAAAAAATAATCCCATTAAGAATGGTCTTTAATGGATTTATTTATCTTATAATTTCCTGCAAAATTTCTGTCTATTTTCAAATCTACTTCAGATTATTTGGAATATAGATCATATGAAAGTAATGTTTCCACCCAGACCCCACCTATTTCCTGGAAGGGTAATTTCTAGAAGACTCAGAAAAAATTGAACTTTTCCCCGTGTCTTAAAGATCAAAATCACGCTCTACTTTAAAAATTTTATTAAATAATTTTTAATTTTCCATTAATAATTTTAATAATATTAAATTTAATTAAAGACTAAGAATTAGCATTAAAAGGTGTGACCATTACATTCACCACATTTATAGGCGGATCTTTGTTGATATTTTTTAATTTTTTAAAAAGAATTATACAATCTTCTCTAATTGTTTTGTTTAAAGTTAAGTAAATAATTGGAGGAAATCCATGAATATGAAACCTAAAAATTTATTTTTTTTATAAATTTTTAAAGAAATTATAGTATCAAAAAATATTAAATAATTTATTGCAAAAAATTCACCATAAAAACTCAGCTAAAATAGTCATCCATTTTTGTTGTGTTGTATATTGCATTATTATATAAAATAAGCATTCTGTTGTGTTTAATAAAGAGAGCGAAAAAACTTGTAAAAATACCTTTAAATTTGATAATATTTGATTAAATTATTAAAAAAATTCTTTTACCATTTTTTCGAGACGGCTTATTGAAAAATATTGAGTGGGAGCTTGATTTGGAGTAATTATGCTTTTCTTGCTTTTAATTACTAAAGCTATAGCAAAAATTAAATAAATTAAAGGAGAAAGAATGGCTACAGAAACATCGTGATAAGAAGGAAGTTGGTCAAAGACAAACTAAAAAATAATTAATTTAATTTATTTATTTATCTCCAAATAACCTCTCCATAATCTTCTCTATAACCAACAAAAGGATAGAAAAACCACGCAAAATAAATCCCAGAAAAAAGAACTGGATTAATAAAAAACATGCAATATAGGGCATATAAAGTACAAAATAATAGCCAAATATAGGTACGCATTCCTTTAAAAAGAAATTTGGCAATTGATGGAGAAATTATTTGTATGCATCTGTTGAATGCAAGAACCTTCAAAAGTAAATCAAATTTTTATTAAATTATTTATCTTTAGTGGCTAACCAAATCAGCACTAGTCTCAGCAACCCAAAAACCTTAAATTATTTGAACATATTTAAACATTACAAAAATAATATTTTACAATTTACAAAAGTTCCAACAATATAAATAAGTGTGGGATATGAACAAAAAACAGCCCCTTGTAGAGAAAGTATTGGATGTAAAAATCCTGATATTATTATTCCAACTAGATCAACAATACCAATATATAAAAGAATAGTATAACAATCATTTTTCCAATGTTGTTTCCATATAGAATACAAACAAGGCAAATAAACCAGAAAATATATTATTCCCAATATTAAATTAATTATAGCTTCTATTGTTAAACGACGGTCTTCTATTGGAATTGAATCAATTACTAAATCAGTACAATTGTAAAGACGTTCGTATTCTTGATGTTTAAATAAAAATAATTCCATTTTTTTATTTCAAAATTAATAAAAAAAAAATTATTTTTCAAAAATTAAATAAAAATTATTATGGCATTTCCTTATACTAAATAATTTATATATATAAATTATTTTTAAACCTAATTTAATATTTTTCTTTACAAATTAAATTTAATATAAATATTAATTTATGAATATATATTTAGATATTTGCAATAAATATTTGGTTAAATAAAAAATTAACAAATTATTAATTTTTATTTAGATATATTAAATATATTGCTTGTTAACCTTATCAAGATAAAATTTAAATAATATATCGACCAATATATGTATAAGTCTTATAAAATTTTTTGCCCTAAGATAAGACTGTATTTAAAACGAGTTGAGCGGGATCTAGATCCCGGGATGGATTGGGCGGGATTTTAATCCCGATCCCGATTTTTCAATCCTGATTCCGTAGTCGGGATCGCGACCGGGATCATAATTCAAAAATCCCATCCCGGTTTTACGTCGGGATCCAGGTTCCGCTCAACCCTATTTAAAACTTAAGGTTAAAATAGAGAACTGGAGAAATTAGAGAAATTTTGTATAGGGTGAGCATTGTTTAAAAAGTTTATTATAGGTTTATTATTGTAAATTGTAATTTTCAAAAAAACTGTGAAACGGGATATCCGAGTAATATGTATACTACATGGCCTGAAATGAGACGGAACTAGACGATTTATTAACAATGTCATTTTTAGTTTGTTTTAGTTTGTATTTTTAGTTTGTATTAAAAAAATTGTATCAAATTAAAATTTTTTAAGTTAAATCCAGCGTAATTAGTTAATAGATTTTTAGAATTGTTCAAAATTTTAATTTAATATTTAATAAATTATAAATTTTAAAATATTAGAAATTAATTAAATAAATATTTAAAAAATACTTTAAATAAAAAATTACAAAAATATTTAGATTAAGTAAAATTAAAAAAAAAGTTATTAAAATATTCTTGGAATATAAAAAGTATTTTTAGTTACTTAATTGTGAAAAGACACAAACATTTACATATTAAACTCTAAAAATTATCAGAAAATATTGCATTTTCTAAAGTTTAAAATGTCAACATTATATAGAGAATAAAAAAATATTTAGAAAAATGTTAAAGACAAATCTTATAGAAGAATAAAAAGCATTCTAAAAAAATTAAATGTTTTCAATGGACTTACAAAAGTATTAAAGAAAATAATTTGTTAAGGTTATACAAATTTTTATAAAGATAAACTGCATCTAAAATCTCAATTTTTATATCTGATAGATTGTGATTTCGAATGGCAACTCGAACCAACGGTAAATCTGTTTACATTCAACAGTAGTTATTAAGATAGAAAATTATTACTAAAATATTAATTCAATTATTTTTCGATTATAGTAGAACCTCTCAGATTTAAAAATTTGTATTAAATTAGGTTTTACTAACAATTAATTGACTTTTTAAAAAAGTGCTTTATAAACTTAATCGAAAAATTCTTTTAAATAAAATAACTTAAAATATTAATATTCCTTGACGACAAAATAAACTACAAAATAAAGCCTTGATATTGCCATTTTATTTAACTTTTAACTATTTTATAGTACATATCACGAAATGTCCTTTTTAATTTTCATAAAAAGTGTCCTGCGTTTGCGGAAGTATGAGTATGTATGTATAACATTAACTAACAATTCCAGGTTGTACTAAATTAGTAACTCCATTTACTTTTTCTTGTTCCACAAGTGAATTTTTTCGGAACCTACTAGCAGACTGAACCGAGCCAAACAAGAGTATTAACAAAAAAAATTATCTATGAAATAAAAAACACTATGGACAAACTTTTCGTAATTTTGGGCTCCAGTAGAATTTTTGGCTCTAAGAGAAAAAATAGAATATTGGCGCAAAATTCTAGACACGGGAATTGAGGGCGTCGGGGTGAGATAAAAAATAACTTAAAAAATAACTCTATCCTTAAAAAATAAAATTTCATACTTGTGCGCCTAATACTCCGTTTTTTCAATTAAAGCCCAAAATTCCTAAATTTCCTTCCACATACAATTGTGTATATGTCATGTGTAATGTCTTCAAAGAGAATAATTTGTATTTGACCGAGTTTCAAATTATTCAGAGAAAAAGATTTTGAATTAAAAAGGAATTCAAGTCACGATTCTTTATAAACTCAACACAAAAATAATTAAAAAATTTAAAAATTTTATGCGACTATAAATTTGCATAAAATAACTACAGATTGTGAATATATACATATGTATGTGTATAATGTATATATACCCATGTTTGGACAAGTATAATTTCTCTAAAGCCAAGGATTTCCTCATAAATATTTTGTCCAAACATGAATATATATATCTAAAAAATGTTGTGAATAGTGCCGTGTTAGTTTTAAATATTCTTTTTCAATCTTGAATAAATTTTTTGAAAAAGTATTTGAATGTTTCAAAACCTTTCTATTTTACTCGGCACTTTTCTGTGAACATAACGAAAAGTTTTTATGTTATAATTGAATTGAATAACTTCAGTTTCAAATTTGTATAACTAAATTATATTTGAAATGTTTTTTGTTTTAGAATTCAATTCAATTATATCTTACAAATTTTTACGAATAAAATTTTAAAAAATGGATATTTTACGCTTAGATAATATAATATATTTCAGAACTGCTTTAAAGGGATGATTTCTAAACAAATAAGTACCGATTTATTTGGACGGGGAAGATTAAATTAACATTTTTTAAATTTTCGTTTTAGATTTTCATAAAGATCGGTTCAAATTTGGCAAAAATAATTGCAAAATTTTCGGGTTTAAAGCCAGTTCTGAAACAGTAAAATAAATACAATTGAATATTTAAATAATGTGAATCAAATAAATTTGAATGAAAAATACATTCTCGATTTGTTAATTTAAAAAGAAGGTTGTCGTATTTTTGTTGGATATAAAAGATTTTCTTAAAATTCAACAAAATTATTTTACAAAAAAGTATTTAAATGAGCTATTCAGATTACAAAAAACGACAACCTTGACCAATAAATCATGAATTTAAAATAAATAAAATTAAAAATAATACCAAATAAATAAATTTAAAAGGTGATGGTTACGTATAAAAATTTTAGTATCCGTAATTAAACGGATTGTCTTTTTTCTCAAATTTTTTTGAACTTTACCTTTTTTAAAAAAAATTTTTTCAGCTAAAACTGCTAAATATTTACATTTTTTATACACCTTTTTCTCTTCTCAATGTCCCAATTCTTCAATTTCTCCTTCGGATGTAGCATCTCCTCCAAATTCATCAAAAGTTACTTCCTCAAAAGAATCATTTTTTCCTTCTTCTTCTCCTTCATTTTTGTGTTGATATCCATAAGAAACAACATTCATTTCTTCAAAACGTTCAAAACGCAATTGTTCTGTATCAATAGAACAAAAAGAATGCCAGTTTTGTAATTCATCTTCCAAAAATAATTCACATTTATCTTTGAAATTTTCTTCAAAATTTTCCGCACACACATTTTTTAATTCTTCTTTAATTTGTTTTTGTAAATTCTCGTAATGTCTAAAAAATAATAAATTAAGGTTTAAATTAATAATCAAAAATATTTGTATTAAAAATAAAATTAGGTAAATAGATTGAAATCCACTTAAACTAAAGTGACGTCGCCTATATATTTAATAAAATTTAATATTCAATTTACCCAATATCAATACGTTTCTGCCCCAAAACTTCATTCAATTCCAATCCATATTCCTGTCCAACACCATTACTCAAAAATTCAGAAAATTTCACAGTTCCATCTTTATTGAATGAATTTTCAATTCTTTTAGTTAAACAATATCCAACAAATAGATCACCAGAATCTATAAAATAATTTTCAATTCCTTTAATTTCTGGTAATAATTGTTTGTAAAAAATATTTTTTTCCTTTTCTTCTCCAAAAAATAATTTTTTCCAATTTTCCAACAAAAATTTATATTTATTTTCCAATCGTTCATCAAATTCTTCAATATTTTCTCCATTCACTAAACTATTCATTTTTTCAATAATTTCAACTCGATGTCCCTTTTCTTCAGATTTTTTCTCAATACTTTTCAATTCTTCAAAATACTCCATTAATTGACTTTTATTTTCAATTTGATCAATAATTTTTTTTAATTCTTTAAATAATTTGTTTAAATTATTTTGTAAATTTTTTAATTCTTTAGCAGTCACAACATTCTTCTCTTTAACTACTAATTCTTTAATTTTCTCATATAATTCCTCAATTTTCTTGTCCTCTTTAACATCGTTTAATTTGCATTCCTTTCCAAATTTTCCAATAATATTTTTATCAATGTTCAAATTATTTTTTACAAATATTTTTAAAAGTAAAACTAAATTTAAACATTTTTGGCATTCTGTTTTTAATTTAATATTTCCTTCAAATTGTTGGAAGAATTGAGAATTGACACTCTTTAAATTAGTTAATTGTCTGTTCAGAACGTTTAAAGCTTTCTCATCTTCGTCTTCTTCATTTTTAATTTCTTCCATCTCTTTTTCATATTCATTTTCTTTTTGATTTTCTTTTTGATTTTTGAAAATTGTTATTATCTAAATTTGTTTGAAATAAATAATTTTTTAGAATTTTATTGAGTAAAGAATCCTTTAAATATTATGTTCGGACCCTTCCTCACATGCTTATACCTCTTTTTAATACGACTTTCTTAATTTGGTTAGAAATCTTTTTTGGGTGCCAAGGGTATAAATGATGGCCGAAATGAATGTATTTGAAATTCTTAGGCAAAGACGAAAGTTAGGAAATTTTGTGGAATTTTTTCCGAAAATTAAAAACCTTTCTCATTTCAAATTTAATTTTTTTGTATGTTTCTTCTTGTTTTTGGAATGAAGAAGTTGTAGACGTTTCTACTATTTCAGATGTTGGATGTTGAACAAATAATTCATTTTGTATTTGAGATGTTGTTTTTGTTGTAAAGTGGGATAAACCAAGCATTTTATGAGCTTCTAAGAAAGTGACTTTTTGAAGATGGAAATTGCTTACTAAAAAATAGATTTAAAAAAAGAAATATTTAAATTAAATTTACATATTTCTTTAAATATTTCCTCCTTTTGTTCTGTTGTTAATCCACTTTCTTTATCATTAATTGCTAACAATAAGTCATCATTATCTTCTCCCAAATATGCCAAACGAAAACCATCACTTTGTAAACCAATTTCATTTTCTTTAATTTAAAATTAAAAATAATTAAATTATTTAAAATTTACTATAGTTAACTGCCCATTCCTCGGGCCTTTCAAATTCAACATTTTGTTTGTCAATGTAGCAGTAATTACTCCAATTCTTTTTCATTTGTTCTAATCCACCATTATTTTTTCCAATCATTTTGAGAATTTGTTGATAATACCTTTAAGAATATTTATAAAATTTTTGAATACAGTCGAATCTCTTTATAGTGTGAGAATCGAAAAATCGTATACAATACTGAGTTGTATACACCAGTAAGTTATCCCAAAACCATTGGTCATTTAAAAGAAAAACCCGTAACTGAATTTGAAATATTTAATAATAATGATCGAGATACGAGTATATTTTCGGAATCCCGATACCGCTGAACCTTAATTTAAATAATTTATTTAGAATTATAACTCCGGATCAATCTCGAAAACTGGTTATTCTTTTTATAAATCTGGGGTTTCAGTTTATCTCTTTTTAATTTTTTTAAAACACAGTCTAATCTCTTTATAGAACCCATTCCAAATTAATGAGACCCATTGAAAAATATAAACCGAGGGCTTTTACTAGGACATTTACTGTATATTTTTTTACATTTTATCAACTCTTTTCTTTCCCAATTTTCCACTCATTTCCAGTCCATATTCTATCAGATTTGTGTTTGAAATATTTTGTAATAAAATATCCATATTAACAACTCCATCTTCGTTAAACATTTCCAAAAATTTATTTGTTAAACAATAAAGAATTGCTGTTAAACTTGAAGTATTTATTTGTCCATTACTTTGTGAAGTCTAAAATTATATAAAATATTTATTTTATTTTTCATTTTCTGAGTAAATTCATTCAAAATTTTAAATTAAACAAACCGAATGTTTGTTTGTTAATTTCTCATAATTTCTAACTAAAAAGACCAATTTCTTCACTAATCTGTCAATATATTCTCTTGTTTCCTTCACTAATTTTCCCTCCAAATCTTCATTCTTTTTAATTTCATTTTTTAAATTTCTTTTCTCCAATTTTTCAATTTTTTCACTCAATTCATTTTCAAATTTGTTAATTTCAATAATTAAATTAGTTTTAACTTCTTTTAATTTTTTTGTTTCTACAATCTGTTTACTCAATTCTTTATTTCCTTCAATTTCTGCTTCACATTTATTTTCAAAATTTTCCAAATATTTTTTTATGTTTTCAGACAATCCTTTTGCGCTACCATTCTTTTTTGATAAGCGTAGAGCTTTAGGCAATAATCGAATAATTGATCCAAAACGATTTTTTTCTTCGCCTCGATTTTCATTTAAAACAAATTTCAATACATAAACAGACAATCCACATTCTTTTAATTTTTCTTTTAATTTGATTGAAGTTTCGACACGAGACAATTCTTTTTTGACAATTAATTCATGTTGAACATTTTTATTTGTTTTTAACTTAAAAAATAAATTTAGTAATTAAAAATATATTTTACACAAACTTTTTCAATTTCTTCTTTAATTTCCCAATAAATATTTTTTTCCATTTCGCTTTGTATTATTGTTGTATCAATTGCTGTATGATTCTTCAAATTTTTATGAAAGTAAGCAATTATTATATGTGCCTCAGTAAATGTTAATTTATGTAAATTGAAACGTTCCACTTAATTTAAAATGTTAGGAAAATAAAAATATAATTTATTTCTTACAAGCTCCATTCTTGAAGTTTGACCATTCGTTGCTTGTTTTGTCCATATGATTAAAGTCATTAGGATCAATATCAGCGAACTTCAGATCAGCAAGATTGAAATTGTCATCGTGTATTGTATTGACTGTGTGAAATAATAAATTTTAAAGAATTGAATTTGCTTTTCCTCAGAAAGTCAGTAAATGAATATAACAAAAATAGAGTATTTAATTAATAAAAATTTGGTACTTTTCATTTATAAAGTACTTTTCTTTTCCATTACGATCATAATGAGGTGTTCATGATGAGGTGACTGAGGTGACTTAGACAAATGAGACGAACCCAAAGATATGTAAATCGAAAGACTTTGGAATTGCCACTACCTAAAGTACAGTCAAGGAATTTGACGGTACTTTATAACGTAAAAGTAACGATAATTACAATTAAATAAATTATTTTTAAAAATAATTTATAAAATTTTATCAAATTACCTGTTTGTAGTATCCATTCATCTGCCTTTTCAAATTGAACATTATCTCTGTCAATAGCACATATATTCCCCCAATAATCATTCAAAACTAAATCTATCATTTTACCCAACTTTCCCGTCTCACTGGAGCTTCCCGCCTCCATTTGATTTTTTGTTTTTAACTTTAGAATATTTTCTTTGAATTTATGTTCAAGTTCTTTGTAATGTTCCAAGTTTACTCTTCTTGGACCCAATATTTCATTAATTTCTGTCGCATATCCCAAAAGATATGAATTGTTATCTTTATAAAACTTTGTTTTTGCTTGTCCCTCATCGTTAAAAACAAATTGGAAACGTTTTGCCAAACAGTAACCAATAAATGAATGGCCATTTTCTTTTAAAGTTTCTTTGACATTTGTTGGGATTTCTTTGCTTTTCTCAACAATTTCTTCCCAATTCTTGTTAAGAAATCTGAATTTTTCGATCATACGGTTTTTGTAAGCCTCCATTTCATTATTCACCTAAATTAAAAGAAAGAATATTTCCAAATTAACTCTTTGAAAGAAGCCCATCTTAAATCCCCTTCAAAATTTAATTTATCTAAACACCTACATATATGCTCAAACCACATACATATTACCCTGATTAATTATTTCTCTTGCTGGTGGGTGTAATTAATTGAGAGAGGATAAAATTGATATTAATTTGTTTTTAAATTAGAAAATTTAAATTTTAAAATTTGATATACAACCTCATTTTGTTATAAATAATAGACTAATGTACCTAATACAATTATTTATGAGAGGGTATTAGAGAAAAAGGGTTAAATTCTTCTAATATTATTTTTAATATATCCACAAATTATTTTTAAAATTTATTTTTACCTTCTTTTTAAACTCTTCTAACTCTTCTTTCTTTTTATCATCCTTTAAAACCAATTTTTGTTTATCCAATTTTTTCTTATTTTCGTCCAAAGTTTTTACAACCTCTCTGGTTTCCTTAGCCATTCTTTTCAAATATTTTTTTAAATTTGAACGTTTAGTAGCCAAATCCATAAGCCTTTCCCAAGTTTTTCTCTTAAATTCATCATCTTTTGTCAAAGTTTTTTTCATTTCTTTATCTAATTTTTCTCCAAAATCTTTTTTGACGATATCAGTTTTTCTTAAATTATTTTCTAGTTTCTCTGTTTGTTCACATTTAGACTCAATTTTGTGGATTATTTCGGCTAAAAACTCTGGAGCATTTCCATGAATACCCAATTTCTTTAATTGTTCGATTATTCCTTCCAAAGAAATAGGAGAGTCTACTTTAATAGAAAAAATTAAAATTTAATTAAAAATAATTTTATTCAAATAATTTTTTTTAAATTATTAAAATTTCAAACCAATTCCCTCGACTGTTTGTTTTTTTAATTTAGCCAATTTTATTTTCAATCTCAGCAAAAATAATTTCCTCAGTTTATATTTTAGGTGTATCTTTTTCAATTTTTCACGTTTAGTTTCCTCATTTTCCCCATTTTTGCTGGAAAATATTTTCAAAAATCCTTCCTTTTTAACAAAAAATCCTTCGTTTTGTATTAAATAATCATCTATATCTCCTTTGATTTTATCTAATTCCTCTTCTGTAAGGAACTCAGATTTTTCTATTTTATCCTCATTATCAATCTTCAAAGCGGTAAAATGTAAAATTTTCCCGTACAAACCGCATTTTAGAATTTTACTCTTTAATTCAATGTTCGTCTCAAAATTGTTTAAAGCTTTATTTAAGCTTTCTATATTTTTGCTTCTTTCAAACTAAAAACAAATTATAGAAAATATATGATTTTTTACTAACAAATTTGTTTGAATATCAAGACATTTAGAATAAACTAATTATTAATCCTAATTATATTTGTTTAATGTTAAGATAGTTATTTAAAAAAATAAACATTTAAATTTTACAACAAATCTGTAAAATTTGTTTGATAAAAGTAACCTGCCCTGATTTCTATACCCGCAAGCTCAATAAAAAATCCTCTTTTGATTATTGTGAAGGGACTATTCTTTTCAGATTTTAATTTTCTTTTTTTAAATTTTCTCTTAGCAATATTAAAAGTCCTAGATCTCTCATTATTAGTACAAATTCAATATCCCAATCTTAATCAGAAAAAGCAACTTTATCAATGTATCCTATCTACTACCCACTAAAAATATTTTTAATATTATTATATAAAATTTTACAAAATTCAATGACTCAGCTACACTTTTATTGATCAATTCATTATTAATGGCTCTTTTGAAATCAAAATTGCCATTAATGTTCGAGTTGGAGACAATAGTCATATAATGGTGACTTTCCGTTAAACTCAATTTGTGCATCTCATGATATGGTACTAAAAGAAGGAAATTAATGGATAAAGAAGCCGATCCACCCAGGCGCTTCAAGAAAATTTTTACTCGTTCCTAGTTTGTTCAAGGTACGAGGAGTATAAATTTTGGTAAGAAGTTCCCAGACTGCAATTGTCTGCTAAACTATCCCATCCCTCTACCGACTAAAATTAGATAAACTAATTATTTCCTTCTATTTGAGCAAATATTTTAAATATTATTTACTAATTTCATTGATGAACTCGCTAAACTTTTCTCCACTAAATCCAGGCATTTTCAGTATTTCCTTCAAAAGGTCATCCTCTAAGTAGGATAAATTGAAAGTTAAATCCTCATTCACTTCATTTTCTATAAATTAAAGAGTATTTTTATCTTTTCTTTTTACTTAATTCCAAACCTTTATAAAATGGCAATGCCAATTTCCCAATATTTATTTTCATAAATAATGATTCGGAAATCGTTTTTCCCCACATTTTATTCCAAGAATTAGTAACGGCTTTAAAAACCACGATAATGAGTTTCGTAACGTATTTTCCATATGTAGAGGTTAATTTATTCAATTTTGTATGATATATTTCATTAACTTCCTTGTGCTTAATTTCTTGGATCCCTTCATGAGGGTTTTTCATTTGTTCTATTGTTCGATCAATAATAAGTCGAACCTCAAATTAAAAATGTGAAAGAAATGTGAAAAATAGAAGGTTTTGTTAAAGATATATTTAGGGGATTTTACTAGTTATTGGCAACCGTTTGTCTACAAACGGGCTTCTTAAATTTTAATGGTTTTTATGATATTTTGATTGTACATATTACCATTTGTCTATTCTTCATATTGTCTGTACTCCACCACTTTTCTATTGATTCCGCTCCAAACTTATTTGCCGAAAAAATTCCAGTAGCGAAAGAAATAATTTCAGTTGGTGTATTAAACATAATTAGAAAGATTTTTACAACAACTTCTGGAATTATTACTCCAAACAGAGAAGGAAAATACAAGATGAATAATACAAATGAGCTTATCAGAGCACCGATTCCCATTGAATTAATGGCCATTGCAGAAGTTTTTTGTATATCCATAGATGCTTCTATTTTTGATTTGATGTATTCCCGGAATGCAATATCTCTTTCACAGTTTGTAATTATTGGAGATGTTTCTGGTTTTTTTGGAGCAAAACTAAAAATACGTTTCCGAATTGTTTGTTTCTTTTCAGCAATTTTTCTCCATTTCAAAACAATTTTATCACCATCTGGTTTTGGGAGAAATCCTTGATCGTATAATTTATATAAGGCCGAACGTTGATGGTCACGCCATTCATTGAATTCCTTAGGTACCATTGCACCAGAAGTAGCTGTTGCTATCTGATATTTAGAGAATATTTTTGGTGTTTATTTTATTTAAAGAATAATTTTAAAGAATTTTTCGCATACAAGATTTGCCGGAAAAGCAGGGAGAATTGAAGACCAATTGCCATTTTCTGGAAACGATTTACTAATCTCTTCCATCCCAAGTATGTTGTTAGGTATAGAACCACCAGCGGCTATTTTTCCTGCAGCGGCTGCATCTCTTAGATTTTCATCAAAAACAGCCTTAGAACTTGGCCAAAAACTTCCACCATCGAATGAAATTAATAAACGTTTTATAACGAGCGAATCAAATGTTTCTGCTACGAGTGGTGTCAACGAGTAGAGGATTACTCCCACAAAATGAGCACAAAGATTACATCCAGACAGCGAAATTAATGCAATTACTCCCGGCCAAACAGCAATATCAAGAACTGCTGCAATTAATCCAGCACCACCCAGACTTAATAACAAGCCATTCCAAATGTCTTTAATTAATTCCTTGGCGTTGTAGACAGATCCGAGTATTTGTGCTCCCATTCTGTAATTAATTATTTTGTGATTAATTATTTATTTATTTATAAGTAAAAAGTTATGAGGAACTACTAGACTAATAAAATAAAATTTATTAATTTTTATTAAATTTTTATTAAATTTGCTCTATGGGGAAGCTATATAGACCATTCCAAAGGTCTTTAGTTAATATATTTCTTAAAGTCTGGGGTTGGATCCCGAAATTTTTGTATTAGGGATCATTGATCTGTTGGCTTGGGGCCATCGGTTATCTTATCCTTATAAATTTCTGATATTATTCTGAAAATTTTAGAAATTATTTCTCCCAAATACATACAATGTACATAGTATATTTATTTAATTTAATGTTCTAAGTAATAACTCTATGTATCAATTAAAATTAAAAAAGTCTGACCTTCCACGGAATTCCTGATGTATATGGTCATTTTCATCATTATAGCGTAACATTTGTAGTATTGAATCTTTTAACATTTTACAATTTTCAATGCCATTGTCAATATCTGTCAACTCTTTTTTCAAGATTATAAAATCTTCAATACCAAACATTCTATTATTTTCAACCTTTTCTTCCCTTTGAAACTCTTCTTTTATTTTGCGTGTTAACCCCAAATTTAGCCATTTAAATTCTTCATTTAATACTTTAATAATATACTTTTCCGGGATCTCTCCTTCTTCACCTCCCCTTCCTCCTTCTCCAAATCTTTTTCCTTTTATTTCTTCCATTTCATTAAATATAAATCTCAACAATTTTTCACTCAATTTCTTTTTCCATTTATTTTCAAAATTTTCCGACTGATCATTGTTTGCTGTTTTATTTTCTTCGGGAGGCAAATTAAGAAATTCCTGAGGATTTTTTAAAAATTCTATCAACTCTTCGTATTCATCCCCTTCAATATTTTTAAAACGTTCGTTTGATGGTTTAATGCTCACTCCGAAAGTTACTTCCTAAATTTTTATTTTAATTAATGACAGTATATAATTAAAAAAATAATGCGATAAGGATGAGTAAGTCATAATTTATCAATACTTTGATCACGAATCCACAGAAATTACCAACGATACAATGTTTTTGTAATTTCTCATATTTTTACAAAATTTTCTATTTTCGTTAGTAGCGCTATAGTAAGAGGGCAGAACCCGTTGTAAGGGTAATTATTAATTTAAAACTTTTAGGCCTAAGAATTATTTATGCTAAAAATTATTTACCTTAAGAAATTCAAATACATGCGGTTTATATTCAAGCAACAACTTGTGACCTTTTTCATCTTTTTTTATATCTTTCTTCTTTTCAAAAGATTTTCTCGCATCTTTTTCCCAATCATCGAGGGTTTTCTTCCAGTTTTTTATTTGTTCATTTTTCTCTTTATTTGTTCTACATTTGTTCAGAATGTCCTTCATTTCCTTTTTAATTGATTCCGTCTTTTCATTAATTTCAAGCTTTAATTTTTTGTCAAGTGTTAATTTCCCTTTTTTCCATTTTTTAAAATCTTTTATCTTTTTATCATTAGTCTGCACAATGAGTGGTGTATCTTCATTTTCCTCTACTGGTGTCTCTATTCTATAAAAGTCTTTCTCTATCTCTTCAATCATATTTTTCAATATCGTGTGTATTTTCTGAGAAATCCTTTTAGATGTATCTTTAAGATTCTTCTGTTTTTGAATTTCGTATTCATATTCCATTTTTGGGATTTTTTCAAAATCCAAAATAAAATTCTTTGTGAATGCACTACTGCCCTTGTAAATTGTCTCAAGGAAAATATGTGTACTTAAACGAGCATCACCCTCATTTTCTTCTTCTTCATCATTATTCTCTCCTTCATTCTCTTCTTCTTCCTTCAATAATTTATCATAAACCATTTTTTCTTCGCCATGAACCAACTCTTTCAATTCATCTCCAGAGAATGACAAGGCGGTATCAAGCAGAAACGCTTTTCCGAAAATATTTTTTGGCAATGGGAAGCCAATATTGCATTTATCATTTTCAAATGGTACTTGCTCAAGTTTTTCTCTCATTCCTTCAATTTTATCAATTTTCAAATAAAAATATTCAAATAATTTTGCAACAGTTTTATCTTTTGATGTAATATATTTACATCCTTTTTTCTTTGATTTTTCGAGATTTTCATCACCCTTTATTTCAACAAAATCTCCTTCTTTACAATAAACATCACCGTTAATAACTCTTGGCATAAAATATTCTGTTTTACCAACCAACTTTTGAACATATTCTTCGGCAACGATCTCCTCTTCAGTTTTAAATGAATGAACACTTTTAAAACTTTTTCGTGCCGAACCTTCAGAGCTGGTTCTTGAAATGAAACTTTTTCGACCCGAACCCCCTTGACTTCTTGCAGAAAAGGCAGTTTGGATCAGACAATTTGTTAAATAAAATAATAAGAGTGTCAGAAATGATTTTTTCCGACTCATCTAAAAACAAAAATGAAGTTTTATGTTTGTTTTTATTTTATTATGGATTCTCTTATCTGATTTCATAAAAGGATTTCTGAAATTTTCGATAATGGAACGGGGTTTTATATGAATAAGCCTCTCATAAATAGGGATGTAGTTTTTATCTTTCTATCTTTTCTGGAATAGCGCAAAGTAGAAATTAAAAAATTTGAAATAGACTGTGTAATAAAAAACAAAAAACATTTCAACACACATAGCCTTAGTTCAAGGTGGCATAACCAGAAAAATTATTCAGGTAATTCCGAAGGAGGGTTGAAATATAGTGCGGCTCCCTCAATTAGTACGGCCCTTTAGAAGACGGTTGAAAAATAGCACGGCCGGCCGTATATTTCAGGAAATACGGTATATAAATCTTTAAAGACAACGAGGTATAATTGGGGATTCGCAAGTATTAAGATAGATTTGGAGGAACTGAGGATTTAGAGGGATATGTGAATCTTTAACGATTAAAGGGATTCATGGATAGATTTTAGGTCCCCAAACGGATTGCGGCTGTGGAAAATTTTTTCATTTGCGGACAGCCCTGAATGCGGTTGTTATGTTTGCTATTTTTTACTGGGGTTCTCAAGGTCCGAGAAGAATAATGAATGGGAAGGGAAAATAAAAAAATTTAAAATAGACTGCCTATTACAAAAATGGTAAAGCATTTTATATTCCATAAAATAGGTAAAGCGGGCGTGTAAAAGGAGCGGATGGTTTGGGGGAGGGGTGGGGGAGGAGAGTCCCTGCGAATGTGTTTATAATAAGCGATTACACGTGTGTAATGAGTAAGATGGTATAAGATTGGACATAATATGCCCAACATTAAAAAAACATGTGACCAGATTGGCATTTAACTTTTAGTAGGAACATCCAAAAGTTCAATAAAATAGCTGGAAATTCTTATGCCTAAATTAAATAATGAGATTTATTTTCCATTTAAATATTTTTTATAAAATACAGCAGTGCTGATTCGTCTACTATAATTCCTATTTAATCTTTGTTGAAGTATGTTACAAATATGTATAAGAAAATTTAAAAGTAGTATAAAACATTCTAGTCAAAAAGGTTTGATTTCCTTTGAAACCAAATAATTGAAGTACATATTTTTTAAAGTTTTATCACCTATTTTATTTTTTATTTCATTTCTGCTCCGCATGTGTCGGTCCGCAAGTGCGGTTCCGCAAATGTCGTTTAACCCTCTTTATATTATTAATTTTTAATCATTAATTTGTATACCTAGAATTGAATTCTCACGTGAAATTGACAATTTTTCAATCATGTGTATGCATACTTTAGGTATAAAATACAATACAATTTTATAAAGATTAAATTCAAATTTTTAAATTTTATACTTAAAAACGTTTTAGGCACACATACTATAGAGGAAATCGTATATTCTTTATTGACTGCAACTTTAAGGCACGTTAATGCAATATTATTAATAATTTTTTAAAAAATTTTATGTTTTTTGGGGTAAGTAAATGGCATTTAAATCGACCACAACAAAGAGAAAATTTCAGCGAAAAGGCAGGCAAGTTTTAAAAGGTCTATTATACTTAAAAACGTTATAGACACCCATACTATACAAATCCAATCAGTACTTATAAATGTTGTTCCTTTGCTGTTGTCCTTATAATAATAACGTTACCCTTAAAATATAAATTTTATTCCTTCGGTATGAATGAACTTACAAATTAAAATAAAAGTTTACAAATTTTATACCAAATCCACTGAATTTCTAAAACAGAAGTAAATTGTTTCAATAAAAAATATAAAACGAATTATAATTAGAGACACATTCTTCTCTTTGGGGCAACTCTGAGGACTTATCAACACTGGAAGCCTACAACCTTCTGATCAACACAAATTTTTATTTCTTTACAAGTTTAATTTTAATCAGATAATGAGGATTTGGCGGGATTAAGAGGGATATAGGTGGATTTGAGGGATTAGAGGGGATATCTTGAAGTAAGATGAGTAAGGTGACATCAGAAGATTTGAGTAATAACAGAAGATTTGAGGGATACATTAATATCCGCTTTAATCCCTTCAGATCCCCTGATTAAACTTATTGTATACGATGTTCATGCTGTGGAAAAATTCATTGGATGGGAGAAGGAATAGAACCATCACGGAAAGGGCCCAAACCGAAAGCACAACCGACTGTGCCACCATCCGTTGTAGGTCTTCAGGTTCAATAGGTCTTCGGAGTGTAGGCTACAGAGGTTTCCAAAAGCAAAGAAACTAATAATTCTTTATCCAAATATTCATGAGATTATACAAAAACTTTAAAATGTTAAAGTGGATCTTTAAGATATATGTATATAATTTATATTTTATAATAAGGTTAAAAAGGCATAAATTTAATTATTATTATAGAAAATATTTTTTATGTCTTAATAAATTCGTAAATCGTTAAAAGATCCCAACTTATTAAAATACAAAATATATAAGTGAAAGAATTTAAATAAAAAATGAGGAATTTATTTAGTAAAGAATAATAAAATATACATAAAAATTAATTAAAATTATCATGAAATTTATTCAAAACAAATGAAGAATTCAGATTATTAGGAACTTTTCCAAATAAAAATACGAAAAAAAATTAAATTTCTTGGTACATAAAGCAAAAACAAATTTTAGAATTAAGAGAGAACACATTTTTATATCCCTGAGGCATTTTGTGTTTATTTATTAGCACTTTATATTTTAAACAAGTTTAGGCTTAACTCCACTTCCCAATTCAACAATCTCTCCACCTTTTCCCAGCCCAATATCTGTATGGTGGGGATGTAAAGGTTCGTATTCAAATCCACCCGGAGATGTTGATTTTGTACTGTGAGAGCCTGGCGCAGAAGATCTTAGATACTGAGCTGCTGATTTAACTGCTTCTGTGCTTTGATGGAATGTAGCTAGTAAAGATAAAATAATTTTAAATTATTTTGAAAATAATTTAAACGCTATCCCCAATTTTCAAATTTGTCTTCCATCCACTATTCACGTAAAAACAATTTTTATAAATTTCTAATAATTTTTGAAAATAAAAAAAACCCAATTGGTCTTTTTAAAAAGACCCTAAATCCTGATTTGGAATCAGGACGCCGGAAAATCCAACCGGGTTCGGTACTGCCAATAGTTTTGGAAATTATTGTCAAGGGCCTATATGTGATTTTCAAATAAAGAAAATAATCATTTTTACCCTCACAATGATGTACGTAATCGGAAAAAAGTTGAGCAACTAATTCTCTTGCAACAATAGCACCAGCATGACCCTCAATAAATCGCAAAAGAAGAATTCCGTCAGGACGTAATGCGTAATTGGCAAAACGTTGGAGGAGAGGGGCAGCTTCTTTGCAATGAACCAAATCTTGGAATTTTGCTTGTTTTAATAAAAGACGAAGTTGACGTTCTCGGGCAGATGGTGGCACCAGTGAAAATAGGCAATAAAGGAAATTGATTAAAGTTGAAATACCAACTAAAAACATCCAAAACCACATGAAAAGATAAATCTGAAAATATGTATTTGAAAATTTTTAAATTTAATTAAGATAATATTGGAAGGTAATTATATAATTACTAAATAAATTTAAAGAGGATATACAAATTCGAGATGTAACTACTACATATTCACCTTTTCATTAAACATGTTAATCATAAGAACACATTGAACAGTGTATCTAAAGTATAATTTTATAAAATAATTATTCTCTTGCACAAAACCTGTGCATATTAGCAAGTCGCCGAACACGAAAATCACAAAGTGAAACACGTGGAAATACTGGAGAGTCTTGCCATCCATCTCCTAACCACAAGGATTGAATGGCAGTCCAACCCCAAAGTGCAAATCCGTGGCCGATAAAAGCATTTAATAAAAAGAATTGGGCAAGGACGTTAACCTTAAATTTAAAATATTTTATTTTTATTTATTTTTGTAAAAAAAAGAATGATACAAAAATATTCCAAAAACACAATTTATTTTCTTAAAATTATATTTTATTTTGTCTATCGAGATCACTTTCGAGATCACTTTACTGAAATCAATAGATCAGTCATTTTTTGAAAAACTTATAATCACTAGGCAGAATTCCCTCGTTTTTTGGCCATAATTTTTTGGTTTTTTAAATAATTTTTCTTTTCAATTTTTCCATAATTTTTTTAATCACCATAGAAACCCATTTTTTGCTCATAACCCCAAGCCATTACCTTTCTGCCTTAATTATGTATAAACGTTGTATAATTTTTTAATTATAAGAGTTTGTTCTTATAAAATTATCAATGACTTTATTTTTAATTTAATGGAAATTATCCTCAAATAATTTTTTAAATTTAAAAAAAACTAACCAAATATAAAAATTTAATAAATAAATAAAGAGAAGAAACATAAGAGCCAAGTGAACGTCCAAAACGTAAACATAAAAAATAACGAGGTGTTCGATGTGTTTCGTGTAATTCTAATGTTTCATTTAAATATTGGGCTAATTTATTCATTTCTTGTTGTCTTTTAGATGAAGACATTGAACGTAATGAACGAGCATCTGCTATAGCTGTTTCTAAATCAACACCTAAAAATAAATTTAAATTTATAATAATCTCTAAAAATAATGTTTTATTTACCGCTTTGTTGGTGTAAAGTCTTCCAAATCCAATTTGGTAAATAAAACATAACTGCCTGTAATGCCAACATTATAGGCACCCACTAAAATTTAATAAAAAAATTTATATAAAATAATCTAATAATTATTAATAATTAATTTTTAAAATTTATCTTTAAAAATTTAATTTAATACCTCCAAAATAATTGTAAACTTTAATTTACTTTTTTATTCTTCTCCACAATATCCCAAAAATATTTATAAAATAACACAAAATTACCTGATAATAGCCAAATTGTCGTTCATCCCGTTCTGTCACCTCAGCAGGTATTTCTTCTTCCGGTGCAACATAATAAGTATTTTGAATAAAACAGTAATCTTCTGCATATTGTTCCCAACCTCCTTTAAATTCCATAGGCATCCAACACTTTAGAATTATTTAAATAAATAATTGATTTTTATTGGCTTTATCCAAATTAATTTTTAAAAGAAAATTTTTTTTAAATAAACTCTAAAAAAGTAGTTTTCTATACTTGAATAGGACTTCCAACATATTGTTTAGCAGAAACCTTAAATATATTATTTAATAATTAATTATGCACAAATAACCATTAAAGCAAAAAATGTCAGCAATGAAGACTTAAATTTTTAAAATTAATCTTTAAAATTTCCAAAATCCCAATACCGTAACAAAATAATTAAGCCTATCAACTGGATCGTCAAAGGCTTGAGGTTTAAACAATTTAAATATAGCATCGTCTAGGAATGGAATTCCAAGCATTTTATTTTAATTAATTAAAAGTAAATGTATATTTCATTTAAAATTCTAAAAAGAAAACACAAAAATCCATTAAAAAAGAAATAAATTTAAATTTTAGAAAAATAAAAGATTAAAGGAGAAAGATAAATAGAAAAATTAAAAATTTGTAGGCACTGCTAAAAGAATGAAGTAAAAATAAAAAACATTGCATATCTGTTATCCCAACCCATTTTCACGGAATATTTTTTGGTTGATCACAAATTTAATCACAGACTTTTGACAGAAACGGGTTAAATTTTAAAGTAAAAACATGTTTAATATTTGAATATGTACATGTGAATTCTAAAAGAATAATCAAAACTTAGAGCTTTTATCAATTATTAAAATTAATTCATAACTTTTTATTTCGCAAATACTCGAATATTTGTTTAAAAATATCTCAAATATAATATAATTGTTTTATTAAATTAATAAAATGATAAAAAAAATTAAAGAAAATAACAAAAAAATATATAAATGTAACATTTTGGAAAATTATTCATCCATCTTGAATTGATTCTTAAGGATGGGTGTGTTTTTATTTTATATTTTTGTTTGATGATGATAATGCGACGATGGGAAAAAACAAAGAAATGAAAATTTTGGCCATTCAGCCGTCAAGATTTTTAAGCTTAAAAAAGGGGGGGGAGGGGGGATAGTTAATATTGAAAAGAGGAAATGGATCATCTTTATTTTGATTTTGAAGAGGGGAAATTGAGTGCATAAATAATTATAATTAATTAAACAAAGAAAAGCAGGTTCTAGAAAAAATTTAAAACAAGGGAAGCATTAAAAATAATTAATTCAATTTATTTTTAATTAATTTAAATTGTTATTTTATTAAATTAATTAACACTTATTTAATTAAGTTAATTAAAAAAATTTTTTTTAATTAATTAAAACAATAAAATGATAATTTGTAAAATAAACTTCAAAATCTTTTAAATAAAACAAATATTTGTAATAAATTTGTAATAATATTGGGAAGTAAAAGTTAAAAAACGGCAAAACCCCCAAAAATACTAGATTATTCTGTAGTATTTTAATTACATAGTAAAAAATATTTTAATGTAATGCCTAGAACGCCTAAGCAGCGCAACGACGCCCAACAATCGACCAAAATACTCAGCTATTGACCATTGGGCATTTGTGGAGGAAATAGCTTGGTTAGTTAAACATTGCCCTCTCAATGCTAAATAAAAAACTTTTTATAATAAAGACCGCAAATAAGAGGATTGGGGTTTAAAAAATAAAGGAGAATTTTTAAAAATTTAAATTTTTATGTGAGAAAAATGATTATAAAATTTTTAAATTTAAAGTTGGTCAATCATCCATGTTGCTTTGATTAATGTAACTTAATTTATTCAAAAAAATCAAAGATTAACAGTTCTGTGTTTAATTAATAAAATACATACTACCTTAAGCTAAATTCTGTTTTTTGTTAGCTTTACATCGATATATACAAAAGGTCAGCTTAGAGGAAAAAACGATGACAGCAAATGTGCAGTTTGTATTATGGGGAGGAAGTATGTATAGGGAAAGAGTGACCATCGACGAAAACCTCCCCCTCCCCCCCTCCCTCCTCCCAAACGAACAAACATAGCCCCAATACTTCCCCAAAAATTATTTCCTAGGTCAAAGAAAGAACTCTCTCTATCTAACAACAACAAATAAATACATAAAATTAAAAGCAAATAATAAAAATTTTGGCGTGAATCCGTTTCGGCCTATTAAATTTAACAAAGTTTTGCAAACTTGATGACAAGTTTTGAATAATAAGAAAACAAACATACTAGAGAGAATTAGCCAAAAAATGATTAAATTTGATGTTTTTTATTTATGAATAAATTAACTACTCAAAATTGTTTATGAATTTTTAAAAAATAAAGAGCTAAAATATTGTTTAAAATAAAAATTTTGTAAAAATTTTAAATTTTTTTAAAAAGTTGTTCGTTAAATTAGTCAATATACCTATTAAAAAATCAACTCAATCCATAAAGGTGTTGAAAAGAAATGAAATTGGTTGTTTGCATAGCAAATTTTCGATCAGCCAAATAATAAATAAATGGGTAAAAAGCGCGGAATTATAAAATAAATAAATAGCGATTATCCTTTTTAAGTCAGTATTTTTTACGAAATTTGTGAAAAATATTTTAAATTAAGTTTAATTTATTTTTTTGAAAGCGGACAACAAAAAAGCTAAAGTTGATTCTTTCTCTTGAATAGTTCTTTAACTTTAAGATTCAATAATAAGTTATAAATTCGACTCGTAATTTAAAAAAGCAAACTTAACTAAAGCATCTGAAAAATGAATATTCCAATCATTAACCTTTTAGCAACATTCTTATTTTGAGGATTATATATACATATCAGCAATTGATGATTTTCAGATTCGGCATTGACAATCTCAAAAAATCTTAATTTAGGAATAACTCTCAATCTTTCACAATTTTGGATCGAGATTTCGACTCGTAATATAAAAATTATTTTAAAATTCTTCAACTATCGAACACTAATTTTCGTTGTCATTACTAAAAATACATATACAATTTTATAAATTATTTTATTTACTTTATATTTTTAACTAAATTCAAAACCTTTACGGTAGAGAAATTAATTTTATGAAATTTTGTTTTTGAACATTTTTTTAGTTTTAAATAAATTATTTATTAACAAAAGATAATTAATTTTAATTAGAAATTTCATCATTTTTTAAAAAAAGGAACACACGATTTAGGGCAATATTTAATTTTGCGGTTGATTATCGCCACCTTGTACGAAAATATAAATAAATTAATTAATCAGAATTGTAATCTTCTCTTTTAGAAAGTTTATATTTTATATAAAAAGTTAATTTTGAGATTCTCATTTTTACTCTTCACAAAGTTTGATGAATAATCTAAAATTAAATAATTTATATTATATTTAAATTTCACTTGTTTTTCGATTTAATTAAATTTTTCCTTATACTATTTTTTTTTAATTTTTTGATCTTTAAGTCTTTAACAAGTCTAGTCCAGAAATTAGATAAAAAATATTTGTTTTTCTTTTATAAAATGTGATTTCAATAGAAAGCTTTATTTAATAAAAGAATATTTTTTATATCCATTTAATTCTTTTAAATTGTTTACCAAATTAAAAAAAAATTTCTTTCATTTAAATTTTTATTAAACAAATAAAATTTAAAAAAAAATTCAAAAAAAGTCATCAGCTTCAATTTCCTTTCATTCACCCACGTGGGAGAAGACGAGAGAAAAAAATATTTTAAAAATTTTGTCAGTCTAATCATTTGCTAATAAAACAACTGAGAAAACAAAAAGAGAAAATGAAGAATTATCACGCCATTTTACTTTTTTTAAATTAAAACTCGTTTTTTTAGTAAATAATTGGAAAATTAATTTTTTGAATTATAATTTCTTTTTCTTCATTTTTGTCTTTAATTAATTAATAAATTAATAATTTCCATTATTTTGATCATAATTATTAAAGTTTCACCGGAAGTTCCGGTTCCGGTTCCGGTTCCGGAAAGTTCCGGTGTTTTTTTGGTTCCGGTTCCGGTTCCGGGAACCGGAACTCAAATTGGATCCGGTTCCGGTTCCGGCTCCGGTTTACAAATCGGTTCCGGCCAAACCGGAACTTTTTTACACCCCTAAGGATTAGTTTTTTAAAAAAATATTAATAAACTACTCGTACTCTATAATACTTTTAATTAAAAAATCAAAGGAAATACATATGTTTATTTTCTTTCAGTTGCCTTCTGATGAGCGTGTGTCCGAGTGGTTAAGGGTTTAGGATTCAATCAAGGTGTTAATAATTTTAAGTCGGATTCGCTTCCTGGTCGTACGACAATAACTCTTCAAATTTTTCTTACAATAAATAACTCATTTTATGAGTTTAATTTTGTTTTAAAAATTATTTTATTTTTACATGGAGTAATTAAGGTTTTTGGCCCTCTAAAATTCTTAAAATTTTTCGTGTGAATAATAAATGATGAATTTTCTTGCTTACAGCCTTAAGAAATTTTCAAAATTTTCGCCTGCGGCGCTGAAAAAGAAAGTTGAATGGTATAATGGATTATTTGGATGGATTAATGCGGATTTTGAGTTATATAGTGTGATATCAAGAGGCCTAATATCCTTCTTTACCTCCTTATTCCATAAACGTATATCGCTCCTTATTCCACTGATATCCCTTAAACCCCCTTACAATTCTGAATCCTTATATCGCCCGATATCAAACACTTATACCAACAAATCCGTTCATACACCACTCTCTAATCAAATATATCACTTATTGCCGACAGATTTTCGGTTCGGTTTTGGTTAATCAAAAGTCACGGTTCGGTTCGGTTTCGGTTAACCGAAGAAATTGGTGAACAGACAACCCTACTTAAACTACAAATTTTTTAAAATTTGCTAGCAAAAATTTTTTTGAAAGTTCCGGTTCCGGTTCCGGTTCCGGGCCGGAACTTTGAAAAGTTCCGGTTCCGGTTCCGGAAACCGGAACTCAAATTGGATCCGGTTCCGGTTCCGGTTCCGGTCAAAATTTCGGTTCCGGTGAAACACTAATAATTATATTTAATTTACCGTAAAAGCTACGATAAAATCCCATGCCCTATTAGAAGTCCTCTTAATGGTGGGTTTTTAAAAATAGAAGCCCAGGGCTTCTGTTAGAGCTTTTACGGTATTTAGAAACACAAAAATTGTTAGTTACTCCATCATTACCCTTCAACTATTCATTTAGAGAATATCAACTTTGATAATCAATTTAATTTTAAATTATTAATTTATTTATAAATTTTTGTTAATTGCTAGTCTTAATTAAATTAAATAAGTGATTATAATATTTTTTTGTTTATTTTAATTTAAATTACATCAGTTATATTAATTAATTATCCTCCATTTTATTTAAATTTAAAATATAATTTTTTTATTTATTTTCTTTCGATTTCAAAGCATGATGCAAGATTACGTGGAAATGAGTGACTATCCCGTGCTGTTTAACGGGCTAGAAGCTTAATATAATTTTCATTTCCTCTTAAATATTGTAGATTTATTTAAATAAAATTTAATAATTAATTTATTCTAATTATTGGAAATTTTTTAAATAAAAATTTTTTTCATTCATTTATTTTATATTAAGAAACTGATAAAGTAGTTTTTATTTTATTAATTTTTATTTTTAAATTATTTAAATAATTAATTTATTATTTCTGATTAATTATGTTCCAAAGATTTCAAGTAATTTTTGCCAAAGTAAAATGGCCCGAGCCAAATGCACAAGTTGCCAAAAGGCACAGTACGTATCCATAATTAGATTTTTCAAAATTCCAAATTACAAATATTACTAAAAATACTTTTCAGATATATAATTTAATTAATTTATTAATACATTTACTTGATCAAATAATTTACATTTTCACAGGCAATTAAAAAGTTGAAATTTTTAATTATAAAGGGTTTGCCGACTTTTCCCATACAATTCTCGACCCTTATCTTATTTTTGCTATTTACTTTCTATTTAATATTTTGATGACCCTTTAAATGTCCTAAAGATATCCTTCCTTCTCTTTCAACAAGCAAATTCTATCCTTCATTTTTGTATGTAGAAATAAAGTAATAATCCAGTCTAATGTCTAATCAGAATATCCTACATTATTAAATATAATTTAAGAAATTTATTTTAATTTCAACGAATCACAATTTAGTAATAAAACAATTTTTAAATTATTATCCAAATAAGAAACTTATATTTCCAAATTAATTCTTTAAATTCTTCTTATTATTATTAATTATTTCACAACTAAAAACCACAATTTTACATTGAAATAAATAGTTAGTATTTCTTTAAAAAATGATTAATTCCTCGTATTTAATTATCGCTAAATAAATATAAAAATAAATTACAAACTAAAAAATATATATTCTCTCATGCCCTCGTGATGTCAGCGCTATTTAGTGCTACCACGTGTGTTGACCAGTCGACAATTTTAAACGTTTGATTGCTGGTGCCTCGTGAGAATTGAATAAAAAATAATTATAAATTATTTATAAATACCTTCTCATTTCATTAAATTTCTTCATTTTCAAAAATAATCACAAAATTTTTAAACAACAAAAGAGCAGAAATTAAGAATTTTTTAGTATAATTTCATAAAAAAAATATTTTTTTAATGAGTCATTTAAATTTATTGTTTTTTTTATTTTATCATCGAAAGATTTTTTCTTAAAAAGCTTTTGCAATTCTTTATTTATTTAATTAATTATTTAAAATATTTAATTATAAATTCATCAAAATTTATTTTTTTTCTTTTCTCTTTTATCAATTTCTAGCGGGAAAATTATTTTATATTAATAAATTTGCGAGTTCACATTTCTTTATTACTGCTCTCAATTTAATTTAGTCACAAATTTAGATAGTTTATTTTATCAGACATTTATTTGCCTCCTTATTTTCTTTAATTAATTAATTAATTAATTAATTAATTAATTAATTAATTAATATTTATTTATGATTTCTCATTCATTTTTTTCTATTTTTATTATCTTTTTTTAATAAAATAAATTCTTTTGTCACAATTATTTATTATTTACTTCCTCTTTTTTCAGTTTATTAAAATGAAAATTACTATTTCTGTTCTTAAACCACTTTTAAGGAGTGGAACAACAATAAATTGCCGAAAATTCGCAACAGCATTGGCTGTTGAGGATAATTTAATACAACAAAAACAACCTTTAATTATTGAAGAAGATAATCAAAAATATACTTTTTATGTTTGTTTTTTAGAAATTATTTTTAAAAAATAATTCTTTTTATTTTTTAAGCACAAAGATTTGCAAATAGAAAGGGCAGAAATATGGCAAATGCAAGACAAACCCGATAAATACGAACAACTTAAATTTGGACATCATTATGCCGATCATATGATAGGGGTTGATTGGAGTGAAGAGAAGGGCTGGACACAGCCACAAATTACGCCTGTATCTGAGATTAGACTCCATCCTGGTGCTAAGGTGGGAAAATAGTTTTGAAAAATTAAATGGTTTTACTGATTAATTAATCGGGAATGTGTTTGTTTAGCTAGATAATACATATAAAGTATTATTATTTTAAACATGAAATTGCCTTTTATTCGTTATATAATAATACTGATTAATTATTCTTTAGTTGATTATTTTTCAGTTATTGAATTTGATGTTAGATTAGTATTTATATGAAAAATTCAAATTTTCTTATTTTAACTATTTAAAAATAATTAAGGTTTTCCATTATGCTGTCAGCCTTTTTGAAGGAATGAAAGCTTATCGAGGTGTTGATGACAGAATTAGACTTTTCAGGCCAGAAATGAATATTTCACGAATGCGAAAAACAGCAGCACGTTCCTCTTTGCCTGTTAGTTTTTAAATATCAAAATTATTTTTTTAAATATTTTTTCTTTAATTTTAAAGGATTTTGATGGAGATGAATTACTTAAAATTATTACTGAATTAGTTAGACTCGATAAAGAATGGGTGCCTTATTCTTCCACAGCCTCTCTATATATTCGTCCAACAATGATTGGAACAGACCCAACATTGGGTGTTGCTAATCCAAAAAATGCTAAACTTTTTGTACTTTCTGGACCTGTTGGATCTTTTTATTCTACCGGATTTAATCCTGTTTCGTTATTTGCTGACCCTTCTTTTGTTAGAGCTTTTCCTGGCGGCGTTGGAAGCTTTAAAATGGGATGGTAATAATGAAAATAAATTAATTAATTAATTAAAATTTATTTAAAGTAATTATGCCCCAACAATAATGTTGGGAAAGATTGCCTCAGAATTTGGTTGTCAACAAGTTCTTTGGTTAAGCGGGGAAGATCAGAAATTAACAGAAGTTGGTTCAATGAATATATTCCTTTATTGGATAAATGAAGAAGGAGGTAAAGAAATAAATAAATGTATTTTTTTATTTTATTTATATTTAGAAAAGGAATTGATAACACCGCCTCTTGATGATGGATTAATTCTTCCCGGAATTGTAAGAGAATCTGTTTTAACACTTGTACGGGAATGGGATGAATTTAAAGTTAGTGAAAGTTATCCAACAATTCCACAAATGAAAAAGGCAATTGCCGAGAAAAGAGTGAGGAAATATTAATTTTTATTTAAATTTTTGATTTTTTATTATAGTAATATAAAAAAATAAAAATAATTTTTTCTAGTTACTTCAAATTTTTGGAACCGGTACAGCAGTTGCTTTAGTTCCCGTCGGTCGGATTGTATTCAGAAATCAAGAAACAAACAGTATAGAAGAATTTAAAATTCCAACAATGAATTCTGGAGCAACAGTTATGCAACGACTTTACGAAACAATTATAGATATTCAGCAAGGAAGGAGGGATAGACCCGAATGGATTTATGTAATTGATTAAATTAATAATTTGGGGTTTCTTTTATATTTATATATTTTGAATTAAAATAATTGTAAAATTTTGCAACAAAAAATATCAAAAATTAAAAAAATATTTTTAATTTAAATTAAATATAACTACATACTTTTTTATTGCAAAAGTTCATTAATAATTATACTTGTTCTTTTTCTTATTTTCCCATAATTTTTCTTTAATTTAGTGTATAAAATGGTTCCGTGACTTTTGCGCCGAGAACATTTGCGCCGCGACTCATGCGCCGCGACTTTTGCGCCGCGACTTATGCGCCGAGTGACTTTTGCGCCGGGGGACCTTTGCGCCGCGACTTTTGCGCCGGGCGACTTTTGCGCCGCGACTTATGCGCCGAGTGACTTTTGCGCCGGGGGACCTTTGCGCCGCGACTTTTGCGCCGGGCGACTTTTGCGCCGCCACTATGTTTAAAAATATATCAATAACTACAGCCGGACCTCACTTTAGTAGGGTTGTCGGATAGTTGGAAATCTTCGGATATCCGGATCCGATATCCGAACTGAAAATTTCGGATATCCGGCATTTTTCGGATCCGGATTTTTTAAACAATGGCGGCGCAAATGTCGCGGCGCATAAGTCGCCCGGCGCAAAAGTCGCGGCGCAAGAGTCGCGGCGCAAAAGTCGCGGCGCTTAAGTCGCGGCGCAAATGTTCTCGGCGCAAAAGTCGTGATACCTATAAAATAAAAGTTTTTATATTATTTTTGCTAGAGATCGGCCGGGGGCGGTATTATAAAAACGGGGTAGGGGTTAACCAACCCTCAGCTGCGGGTAATCATCGAGTTCTGGGTCGATTTTTTTATAATAAGGGTTAACCCTCAGCTCGGGGTTCTATTACCCGGGTAATAGAACCTGGTAAATTTACCAGGTTCTCCTACCCCATTTTTATAATACCGCCCCGGATGGTCGATTGATATTTCTATAAATATCTAAAAATATCGATAAAAAATTGTATCGAGCCGAATTTTAATTTTAGCCTGAATTTAAATTTTAGAGTTTAAATAGATTCTGTAATGAAATTTTTAAATCTTTTCCACTTAAGATTCAAGTAAACAATTATTCCTAGACAAAAGTAATTTATAATTAGATATCTGTTGGTGAGTTAAGAATAAGCACAGCTTTGGTTACTAAAAATATTTAAAAATATTTATTTAATTAAAAAATCCATAAACAAATAAAACGAAAATAAATATATTTTCTTGATGAAAAAGAGGAAAGGAAGTATAATATTTAAAAAAATAATATTGAGGAGGAAACATATTTTTAACTTCCTATTAGAAATTAAATAAATAAAATATTTAAAAATTGTGCAAATACAAAGTTATGAATTTAGGTACGTGTCTATAAATGTTTATTTTTGTAGAAATTTTTGTAATAAAATGTTAATTGAAATATTCATGAAATTAAATAACCAAAAGAGGGGGGCTTTTGACAAATTCAGATTTTTGAATTTGAGTCAAAATTTAAATTTTGGCAGATCTCTAACAAAAACAAACAAGTACCAAACTTTATGTGCCTTGATAACTAACTCGTAAGTATTATAATATTGCTCAACTTGTTGACATTTCTCAAAATATTATTTGAGAAAAAATTTATTGGACAAAAGCTAATGAAACAAAAAAGTTTTTTAAAATAGGTAATTCTTAAATTATTTCTAAAAATTCAACACATTATTTTTATTTTTAATAATTAATTGTCCAATATTTAATTTAAATAAAAATTATTTTTATTCGTTAACTATTAGGTTTTAATAAATTTCCACAACTTCCAGATATTTGTATTCCATTTATTTTCCCATTAGAATCTGGCCGAATTTCTGTCAAGTCCAATTCTAATTTTTTCCCTCTCGCAGCGGCTTCTTGGAGATATGCCAAAAGATTCTGGCTAGTCCTTTCTTTTACTAAATGTTGCTTTTCTAAGATTTGTCGAAGTGCTGTTTTACGTCCAAATGATGGAGATGATGAAGTTTCTTCTTTTTGATCATCAATTTCTGTTTGATTTTCTTTTGAAAAGGATTGGGGTTGTTGGCCTTTTTCTGTTTCATTATTAGATTGTTGATGTTTTAAATCATTTGTGTTTCTTTCACGAATGTGTCTAATTGCATCTTCGACTCTTAATAAAAGATTTTAAATTGTTTTTTACATATTATTTTAAGGAAGTCATAATAAATTTTAAACTATGTGGATTGTTCCTTAATTTATTAGGACGACACTAGTAGATAATTCAATTGTGTTCTCACGGATTAACATGTTGAATAATATCTTATAATAATTACCTAGTAAATACTTTCACTTGTCTTCTTGCAGCCATATCTTTTAAATAGCTAAAAGCCATTCTATAACATTCATTTCTCCGTTCAACAGCTGCATAAATTTCTGGATCTAATTTTTCTGCTTGACTATCAAGTAATACAAGGCACTCAGCTTCACGAGGGACACAAACTGTTACTTGCCAATCTGCATGCCCAATAAAATAAGCTACCTAAAAATGAGAGGAGTAAATAATCTACAAAAGAAAATATTTTTTCAAACCTCAATCATCCCTGAGAGAAAGGTTTTATAAGAAGGAATATAATAAAGAATATGATTGGCAGTGTGTAGAAAAGGAATTCGCATTCTACTGTCACACATTAATGCTGAAGTATAACTTAGTCCATTTTTACTGAAAAAAAAACAAAATAAAAATCAGAATTTTGTGAACAAATTTTCTCAACTTACTGTAATTCAGGCACAGCTTTTTGAGTAATCCAATCTAATTCAGAAGAGGAAGAACAGCTTAGAAATACATCATAACCGACAGGAGAAGTTAAACAACCATTAAGACGTAATTTTTCACTTTTTTCTGTAGGGGATATTCGGTATTTTTGTTTTTCTTTATTTCGATTAGGGCGATTATAAGCTACAGAATGTTGCTGTTGTTTCACTCCAGCAGTTGTACTTCCACTAATAATTAATTCAATCATTGGCTCGTAACCATTCCCTCCCGCCAAAGAATTTGAGGATTGAGAAGAGGAAAATGTTGTCCGACTTGCCCCTCGAAAACTTTGTTGATTTTGATGTTGTGACAAACTGTCACCCATTGTGCTAACTCTTGGAAGTGGGGGCATTGGAAGTAAAAGGGTTCGTTGAATTTTCCGTTTTCGTCGATTGCTCTAAAAAATTTTTGTTTTGAAAATTATTTTGATTTTTATTAAAAAAATATTTACTTTAAATCTGTAGTAAATAACAAAAGCCAATAACAACAAATAATTAAAAGCAAGAATTGGGATTATCAATACCCAAATAGAAATTCCCGTTGCACCAAATGCCGGTGAGAGAATAAATGGTGATAATATAAAATTAAATAAGAGCACCAAAATCATTTCAAAAGCCAATAAAATAGTAAATCTTCGAAAATGGGCAAAAAGACGAGTTTTACAAAATGATTTTGCTTTTTTTAATCCTTCAGAACATTTATTGAGGCAACGACGGGCATTGAGTTTTAGATAAGGTAAACGTTGTTGACTGCTTAATAAAGCCTGAGATTAAAAGAATAAATTTTAAAAAGCTGACAAATAAATTTAGATACATCCTTAAAGACTTTCTAATGTTCGATTCTCATTTTAGTAAAATTTCTATTGTAGTGGCTAGGTAATAACTAATAATAACTGATAAAATAATACCCTAGACTGATATAATAACTGAACTAAATGTTTATGGCTATAAGAGATCTAACATTTTTAATTAAAAAAAATTACTTCATTAAACGGCTTGTCCCTAATTATTTTTTCGTCTACAAAATCCAAAGCTTCATTAATTGAGGTTAGCATTAACACCGAATGACGTTTCAATATTGCTTCTAATAACTAAAAATAAATTTATAAACATTTTTTATCATTTTTTAAAAATACATTGCATGTTCTAATTCTGTCAGGCAAATCAACTTTCAATGCTTTATCACTCCATTCGTGCCTTCCAAGAAAAACAACAACCAATTTTGAAGCTTTTCTTGATGCAAAATAAGCAATTTCAAGAAAGGAGGTTGCATTAATTGTTCCCGGATCGAGAACAAAAAGAAAAATACGAGAATTCTGAAAATAAATATAAATATACATTTAAATTTTATTTTTTTTTCAAACTTCTTTTGCTCGCTGCTCTTCTCTTATCATATTTTCACTCCAAACAGGCCTTTGTGGATCATAATAAGTAATTCCATGCCTTTTTAGATAAGGAATAACAATCTCACTTCTAAATAAAAAAAAATAAATTTTAATTTTCAAGAAAATTTTTAATTTTTATTTAATTTCTATTTAATTATTTTTATTTTATGTAAATTGTTGTGTATCTAGGGGGATTTGGCCAATCTCATCTTAGACATCAACGGATATAATTTATTGGTAGCACCGGATGGTTCTGCGAATGCTGAACGAAAATACGATCCATCGAAGGTAAGTTTTGGAATGACATGAGGTTGGAACCCCGTGAAGATGAGCAACAATTTAAAACCATTCTTTATCAAATATTCAATATTTAATAATTCCCTCATTTTTAAAAATAATTCAAAATTTTTTTATCAATTTCTCCTTTTTTCTATTAATAATTTATCCCTCAACAAATCCATAAGGGAATAAATTCTTGAGGGATTAAACACAGATTTTTTTTTTATAAATTTAACTTTAACGGCCAATTTATTTTTTCCTTTTATTTTTTTTATTTTATTCACTTTTCTAAATATTTTCAAGGAAAAGAAAAGGGAAAATACCTAAACGCCCACACAAGTAAATTTCTTTTTAAAAATATTCTTTAAATTAACTTTTAAAAAAATAAATTTCTATTTTGTACTTTAATTTGCCGGAAATTGTCAATTTAGGTAAAAATAAAAAAAATTTTTTGAGGGGGTTTTAAATTTTGAATTATTTTTAAAGTAAAATATTAAATTAATATTGTATAATATTTCTATAAATAAAAGAAGAGGGTAAGTTATTAGATTTATTTACTAAATTTTTTAAAAATATTTTAATATATTTTTACTTTCCCAATAAGTAAAAGTAAATAATTATTTATCTACCTCCAACAAGTATTTCCACAAGATCCCCCCAAAAATACATCATAAATAGGCTTTTTCTGGTTTTGTAAATTTTTGTCTCCGCTAATCATTAATGAATTATGTCGGTCAATATCATTTTTATCATCTCTTTCAAACATTTGCAGAAATTATTTAATTTAAATAATAAATATTTTAAGAAGAGAATTTAATAATTAAAGGCATCTAAAAAATAAAAAAAATAAAATTTTATTGAAGAAATTACTGAAAGGTTATTGATAAAATTGTTTGTAAAAATACTTAAAAAGAATTAAAAATGTGAAATTGATAAATTTAGAGAAATGATAATTATTATTTTTTAAATAATATTCAAAACTAATTTTAATTTTCAGGTAAATCAAAAGGGAATTAAGAAGTAGTAAGGAGGTATTGGCTTCTTATTGAACGGGTTAAATTCTTGGCTCCGACTGAGGCCGGAGGAGGCTCCAAAGGTAGCTCCCAAAGTCATACCCTGCACTGTATGGTGTTTCTGTCAAATTTTCATTACTAAAATTTGGGAGATTAACTAAATATATATTTAATTAGTGTATTTGTTTGTTAAATTCTTAGATAATTAGCAAAAGAAGAATAATGCTCCTAATTTGCACTATTATTAAATATTTTTCTATATTTATATTTTTTCTTATTTTCTTAAAATAATAATTGTTTACTTTTGTGTGTATATAAAAAACTTGTGATTTAAGTAGTAAATAATATTTTTCAATTTGTTGATTAATTAATTAATTAATTAATTAAAATTTTAATTTAAAGTAAAATATTAAAAGAGTTTTTATTTTTTTAAATTTATTTTCTCATCTGATCCAAATTAAAGAGTGTGGATAGTGACAATGCACCGCGCACAAAACAAAAAAAGAGAAAGTCATACGTTGAAAAAAAACTTTTAATAAAATTAAGGGATATATTAATTAATTAATTATATTTTTATTAAAAAAGGAAAATTTAAAAAATAAAAGAAAAAAGATTTTTTAAGAAAATAAAGAGATGATTGATGGAATAAGAAATTTATTCGAAGGGGGGGGGGGCAATTAAACAAAAAAAACTCTTAAAATTATGGTAAAATGACGAATTTAGTATTTAATATAAAAGAAGAAAACACAAAATATTTGTTTGTTTGCAAAAATATAAAAATTTTTTGTTTTTAAAAAAATTTTTGAGAAAAACATTTTTATTGTTATTTTTGATAGGAAAATGTTTTTTATAAAGGACAGAAAAATAATAAATGTTAAAGCAACAATTAATACAAAAAACAAAATAAAGGTGTTTGGAAAATGTTGGGAATAGTTTAAAAATAAATCACGAAATCGGCATAAAAATTATGAAATATTCTTTTAGTAAAATTAGATCCAAATTGAATTAACCTACAGCGCTTAAGTTAGAGAGAATTAAATCAGAACGGATTGGCTATCGTTGCCCTCCTTATAAAGTTTTTGGCCTCGTTAAATTTTTATTCATTTTTGAGCCAAAGACAAATTTAGATAACCCAACACCCACATCTGTTAACCAGTAACCACGGCAGTGGTATGTAGGTATTTAAATTCAAAAGGATTAACAGGAATGAATTTATTGCTGAATATGACGTGATAATTAAAGCTTTAATTAAATTCCTTTCTTTTAATCCAACAGATAACTTTGTCTGTCATTAACAGACTCGCGCGAATGAATTTGTATAAGAAAAATAAAAAAATTTGAAAGAGAAACTAAATTGAAGAGGATTATTAAATAATTAAAATGTTCGATTTTATCTATTAATGTATTTCCATTTATTATTTCTCCTTTTTAACACATTCTCCCCTTATCCCTATTTTTAGTCCCATTTCCCACCTCATTATAAATAAATTAAAATTGTGGTTAAAGTCACTTTGGTTTAAGCATTGCTTATATATGTATATGTTCAGAATTTAGTTTCAGCAGTTTTCTACGTCTAAAATTTCCAACAAAACTTTTTCCTTAACCCTAAAAATCTGTCAATTCAATCTTCAAATTTTCTAAAAAATATCCAATTAACCATAATTTATTTTATAATTATGGGATCACAAATAAAACCTTATTTTATATTTTTCTTTCCTTATACTTTACATTTAAAAATGACGCCATTTTATATAATTATTAAATGAAACCTTAAATTAAAAATTCTTATATTTAAATTTTAATATTATAAAATTAATTTAAATAATTTTTCTTTTAATTTAACAAAGAAAAATCTGTTAGTGTCAAAGAATTAAAAATTAAAAAATATACTTTTCGAGAATTAAAGATTGAATTAATAAAATTAAATTTAAAAAAAAGGAGAAAAATATATAACGTCATAATTTAAAAAATAAAAATGAAACATTTTGACACGTTTTAAAATTTTCTCAAAAATAGCAAAAAAAGAAACAAAAGGGAAAAATATATTTATATTTATTTATTCACCAACACACTTACTCAATTTCCAACAAAATTTTCCTTTTTTAAATTCAAAAATAAATTTTATTGTTTTACTTATTTTTAGAAAAAAATAGAAAATTTAAAAAATGAAAGGAAAAAACAAAAATTTAAAAAGAATTTGGAGAAAAATAATTTTAGCAAAAATTGTAATAGGAAGAAAATTATTTTTTTAATTTAATAAGTTTTACAATAAATGATAAAAAAAATTTAAATATAGGTAGTTTATTGAAGTATAAAACATTTAAAATAATAATTTAAGGGAAAATAATAATTTAAAAATTATTAAAAATAAAAAGAGGAAGCATATGAGTACAAATCGTACATAAATAAACGATTGACAAATTTGGCAATAAAAAAATAAAAAAAAAGTAAGAGGGAAAATAGATAAAATAATGTGTATATATATTTAGTTTTTTCTAGTGTTAAAAACACAAAAAATATTGGCATTTATTTTATTCACATTTTAATGCCGTTCCTCGGAAAAGTAGAAAATTTGTTTAACCAAAAGGACAATTTTTTGTCTAGAATATTTAATGGACCAGAAAAGTTTAAAAATTAAAATAAGAGGTTTTTTGGTAAAAATAAATTTAAAAAAATAATTTTAGATAAAAATATTTCAATGAAAAATAAATATTTTATCTAAAAAATAAATGGGACCATAAATAATGAGAAAATAAATGTATGTAGGTAAATATTTTTTTAAAAATTTTCTAAAAAGAAATTAATTTTTAAAATAAAATTAATTTATAATTGTGTTTATTTTAAATATATTTAGAAAATTTAAATTGCATTAAAGTGAAGGTTTCCATTTAGGTAGTATATTTAAAAAAATAATTAAATTAAAAGTAAAATGGAAGAAAGAATATTTTAAGGGGCATATTTTTTTATTTTTAAGTTTTTATTTTTTAAATTGAATCAAAATTGAAAATCATCAAAAAATATTTTTTAAGGAAATTGTAATAAAAATGACGTGAGATTGAATAGAAAAATGTGATCTATAAACTTTAATCATCTAATAAAAATATTGTAATTATTCCAATGACAAAAAATCAGTTTATGAATAATATTTAAATAAAATTTTAAAAAAAATTAAGAATAACAAATGAGGGAAAATAAATATAAAATAATTATCTAAGTAAATGTCTGGATGGATAATTATATTTTTTAGTTAATTGGGGACCTATTCAAAATTATTATTACGTAATTTACTAGTTATTCTGTGGCCTAAAGGCTTTAACACGTCTAATTGTGAAAATTGTAGATAAAAAATGACGTGGGGCTATATGGACCGCGAATAGAGAGAATGAAATGGAAAAAACTGTGGAAGTTGCTTTTTCTTTTTATTTTCCTCTCTAGCTCTAGGCATTTTAGCTATCGTTTCTAACACTATATCTAGTTTGTAAAATTTTTTTGTTTAATGCCATAGCTATAGCTATGGCATTCTCGTGCTGGAAAATGAAAGAGAGAGAAACTAATATATGTATATGATGTTTGAAAAAAGAAAAAGTAGAGAGATGAGGGAGAGATAAATGAACCAACCGAGGACGAAAACTCTTGCCCATTCTTCAATCTCTCATTCCTGTTTAGTTGAAAATGGAGTGAAAAACTAAGAGAAGTTTCTTCAAGACGAGATTTAATGTCGGAGTCGAGATTTCTTCGGGTTTGTCTAATAATTAGGGACAGCCAAAACATGCAAATGCATGTTTTGTATGCGGATATGCCTTGAAGTGAGAAGCCCAAAAATGGTGTTTTTACATAGGTCCGAGCACTTAAGGACCCGGTTCTTAATGCATATATTTGCATATTTCGGCCCTCCCGTGCATATTTGCATATTTGTGCATATTTTGGCAAATTTTGCATATTTTGGTCCATATTTCGGTATTTTTTGGTAAATTTTAGTAAAAATCGCCGAAAATTTTCAATTTTTCGGATTTTTTTTGGTAAAAAAATTTTTTATAAAAATTTTATAAAAAAATTTTTTCGAAAAATTTTTCGGAAAAATTTTCTTTTGTTAAATTTCTATGCAATAATCTTAATTCCATAAAATCTTCTAAGAATTTTCTTAAATTGCGGGTTTAAAGGCTAATTTCTTGTTTTTTGGCTTAAAATATTGATCTTTAAAGCATATTTTAACAATTTTGGTGCATATTTCAGTGCATATTTTGGCAAATTTTGCATATATTGGTGCATATTTTGGGCTTTTTCGGTGCATATATATGCGCATATTTGGCAATTTTCCGTGCATATTTTGGCTGTCCCTACTAATAATCTCTTGCCAACTCAAGTTAAAAAATATTTCTCTTCTTTTTCCCTATTTTCTATAGTTCTTTAAAGCCTTTAAGCTTAATTTTTCTCGCGCCTATTTGCTTTCTTACGAGCTAATATATTTTCCATAAAAATATATACTAACCAAAAAAGAACGGAAGAAGAATAAACGGAACGTGGAAAAAGCAAAAAAAAAATAACGAAAAAAACATTTATGGGCATGGATATTTCCGCAGGAATATATGAAAAGGGTTTGTATTTGTCATAAAATTACTGACGTGTTGATATTTTGGATATATTCCGGACCGGAAGTAGATGCAACAGAGAAAGAGTGATGTAATTTGCCTTTGCATTGAAAAAAAATGGGAGAGAAGAATTTTTTGCTTTAAATAATTGGATAAATGGATTATGTATATGT